ACTTACATCAGGACTGCTAAATATCTCTGTAGACAACATTGAATAGGAGATTGAATAAAATCACCTGATAACTATGATAATGCTCTAGAATAATGTATAAAACAATCATTTTCATCTATTCTGAATCTCCTTTTAAGGCATTACTATGCAATCATAATCTATTCAGTAAATTCATAAAAAATAAGGTGATTTAGCATTTTTTATTCTATAATAATAAAATCTGAACAAAAATGCTTTAATGGAGCAAAATAACTTATAATAAATATTTTGACCACTTTTAAACACTAAATATTCATTAGGAAGTGATGTTGCCAATAGTATTTAATATTCCAGTCATTTAATCTTTTTTGTGAGTTATTTTACTCTGTTGACACATTATTGAAATGGCGAATAGACATTTTCGCAAATACTGTAGCTTCCTTCATAATTAGTACAACAATGAATACTGCATGTTATAACAACTGAAAATGATTGTTTCAATGTTACCAATAATGATCTCAAGCCTAATCTTAATATTCAGTTTCTACATAATAATGTGGAAATTTTCCAAGATTGATTTGGAAGTCTGCATGAATGAGACTGACTGTAATAGTGAAATGAAACATTATACTCATTTGAACAATTATTTAATGAATCATGATTTTATAATTGAACAAAAAAAACAGACCTCTTTGAAATGCAATCTTTTCTGAATTATTTCACTAATTTTCTGTAAATTTCAATTTGCTGTTTTCCTTTTATTACTAAGAATTTACTATCACAATACAGTTCAAGCATAAATACCACTTATTCAAGATGCCATACTCTATTTACCTGTTATGTTTTATTCAAACACTATGCAATTATGCTATCAGACACAGTATTTCCAGCATTTATGAACAAAGTATCTCTAATATTAATATAATTAGTAGCTGTAAATTTTCTAAAACCTTAATATAAAAAAAAAGTAAAATTATGACTGATCAAACAAACTTTTCAGGTTATTTGATCACAAAGAAAACCAATTAACTATTATTTGAACACAGTTCATGTCAATACCAATGGTAAAAGATGTGCTTACTAAAATTTGTATGCTTAAATGAAAGATTAAAGTCTTCAAGCACTTAAAACAGTTGGATATTACCCATATAAATTTATTCAGTTTATAATAAATAAGAACTATTGCTTCTCTACACTATCTTTCTTGACTACTGTTTTAAATTCATAATTTCAAAATTTTAAGATAATATAATTCTCTTGTTTGTTTACACTTTTAGAGTATACACATATGCCAAAGAACCATATTTCCAGGATGCTGGTGCTTTGGTGTGGATATAACATGATGATGTAATTGAATAAAGTTTTTCTGAGGATAGATAATGGTGTATAATATACAATGCAAGTGAATACATCCAGAAATATGCAGGAAATTGTGTTGGATGGTTTCAACACTACACATGAATAGTCCCCCATAGAATTAATAAATATATAAGATAAGTTTAGCTAACCATTTGGGTTTTGATTAAGTCTAAATCATATGATTATTTTTCAGGCTATACAATCCAGATTATTAATCTGGAGTGAGTGAAGTCTTACTCTGAATAGATTTTGTTTCTTCCAAAATTTTCTAAATTATTTAATTAAATTTAAGATTAAATTTCTAATTATTGATCTTTACACATGTATACAGCATTACTGCCATATTTGGCTATTTGATTAAATAAAAGAATTCTGGCAATTTAGAATATTCAGCATAGTACAAGATAATAAACAAACAGTAAATTTTTTGAACTGGAGAATACAAGAGGTAGAATTGAAAGGCAGAACAAATGAATCCATACTCTACTTTTGACATAAGCAAAATTTATTTTGTACTAATTTTTGAAAAGTAAATTGACTTAAGGAATGATTTTTGTTCTTTTGGAAAAAATAAAATAAATTTACACATGTAGTGAAAACAAATGTCCTTCAAAAATAATTCCATCTGAGATTTAATCAAATATATTATTCAAAAATTGTGTAAATAAACTAAAATATTTATTAAATTTACTCAGTTCATTGTTTTAAATCTAATTAAGTTTTAAATTTTATTGTGCAAATTAAAATTAAAGTTTTTTTGAACCAGAAATGTTTTTAGAAGTTTGGTAAATCTGATCAATTGCAAACAAGCAGTGGACAGGATTGATTCTCTACGTTCTGTGTGATAGAGAAAATGTAGTAAGTCATATTTTTGCTTAAATTTTTTAAAACTTACTTCAGTTTAGAAAAATTATAAAGTCATCAATGAGTAGATCATTTATAACTAATAGAAACTACTATTACTCCCTTGGTGTTAGTTACCCAACAGAATCACACAAATACATTTCATAAATATAGTTATATTAGAGAACTAAACAGCATCTTATGTACAGTATACAAATAACTTAAAACTAAGCAGTTTTTTTTCTTTAAAACTTTCTATTTTCTTAAATGCAATTTACTTCAAAAATTTGTTTTTTTTAGCCTATATAAAAATATATTTGTTTTCAAATTAAATAGACATCAGAAAATATGTTTATAGAAAATGACATACATACTGATATTGCTAAATTTAAAATAAATAATTTAATAAAATAGCAGCTGTTTTTTGATTGACAACAATTTTAAATTCAGGCTTATAGAAAACAAGTTTTGAAACATTCTAATACAAAATAAAAATTTTTGTTTTTAAAATTTGAATATTGTTACAGGCAGGAAATACTTCTACTTCTAAATATTTTAAATAATAACAACTGAAATCAATATAGTACTTTAACCAAACCTACAATATGTTTCTTTGGGAAGTTATGATCTGCAACTCTCAGAGAGATTCTGTTGAATTTGATATCTCAAACTTTCCCTAAGAAAGAGGAGGGAATGCTTATTTTATTAATACTAAATGCATAAAGTTTATGGGGAACTGTATCAAACAAATGATCTAGGGCAGTGGTTCCCAAACTTTTTTGATTCTCAGCACCCTTGCTAAATCCAGATTTTCTCAAGGCACCCTATGTCAAATTCTAACAAGTACAATTATTTGCAAACTAGCCAATATTTTTTAAATTAAGTAAAATTTAAAAAATTTTATAACATTTCATAGCACCCCTGTGTGGTGTTCCAAAGTATGCGCCACAGCACACACTTTGGGAACTGCTGATTTAGGGTACATAGGATACGGATTTAATGAAAATGTCAGTGTTGTAAATGGTGAAGTCATGAAAATAACAAGATCTAGAGAATTAGTTTCTATGTCATGCTGTTCTAATTTTATACCAATTTGATTATTATTAATGCCTTCTATAAATTTAGAAATAATTTCCTCTTTATGCTAAATAATTATTAAAACAGTCTACATAGCACAAAATCAATTTAATATCATTAACATACATTTTCATGATAGGATTTTCTACCCAGGACACTACAATTTCTGCTAGATCACTGGAAATCATGTAGGTAGACCTGAAGATTGTTTATAAAATTTTCTATACTGTAAGAGATAAGTACTTACAAAATAAAGATTTAAAAAGATTTGATACAAACTTATAAGATTTTAAACCTAAAATATTATAAATGTTTCAACTTAGGGAATTCTAATGTTAACTTGATGAGTATTCACTCACTGTTTCTTACAGAAATAAGATTTACAGAGCTATCAATAGAATGTATTTGATAGCATTAGATCATGACATTCAAAAAAAGCTTATTTCAAGTTTGATAAATAAAGAAGAAAAAACTTTTCGATTATGACAAATTAAAAAACTTATCACACTTAATTTTCTTGTATGTAAATTAAAAGTCATCAAAATGCTTGGAAAAGTTTATTAATAAAATTGTTGAAAAAATTAAACTAAATATTTAATTTACCACAATTGATAAACTGATTATGAGATTTGTAATGTTTTTGGGTGTTTGTGCAGCTATCATCAAAATACATCAAAAAGAGCATGAAATTTAATTTAATTTTTAAACTGGGCATTCTATTTTGTATTCCTTTTGATGTATCCTGATGACAGTTTCCATTTACAGCAAAAAACTACAATTTAATTTATTACAGCAGTTCAGTAATAAAATTTTAAGATGATGACAATATTAAAATTTTCTTATAAAATAAATCATATTATTTTTTTATTCTACTCAGAGATAAACCCTTGATCAATTGTCAATTGGTAATTCAACAGAAAGTTTTTGCCATTTTTGTGTTCCCTAATATGATCAAAATAATTTTTTGTATAAAATGTATCACATACTCTTGGATTTATTAATAGCATTTTGTATACTCTCACCATATTTAAAAACAAAAGATAATATTTCTCTAACATTCATCAAAATTCTGTGAAAAGAAAGCAAAGAATTGATTGAAATGTGTAAGTTTAACCTTTGTTTGTCTCACTATTCTGAGATTTTAAAAAGATTTTTTATGTTTTAGAAGTATAAATTGCTCATTATTGTTTTTTATATTACAATTTTGATCAAATTTTTTACTTACTTAATTTCATATATAATTTTAAAGTTTAATTAAAGTTAAACAAGTTTTGACATAAACTTAACACACTTCATACAACTTTTATTTGCATTTTTATCATACAGTCTGAGGTGAGATATGCCTGTTAATCTCATCTCATAAGATTTTATTTTTGTTTTATTAATAATTTTTCACTAAAACTAACAACACAAAATGCAGGTAACATTGGCAGTCACAAGAAGACTGTAATTTTTATTATCATCCACCCAAAAGTTATACAAACAACTATCTATTTGGATGGCTTCAGTTTGCAAAATTTTATCCAAACAAAAAAGAAAAAGATCATCACCATCTGACATTATATATATATTTTTTTCTTTTTTTTTGTTTTTCATTTTTTTATGTAAAACTTTATTAATATGCAATTTTGCATTTTTCAAAATTTTGTTATAAAGCAGTTTAAATTCTTTTCTTGATTTAAGGCATAATCAAACAAATTTTGCCCTAGACTATATCCTTTATTTATAATAATAATCTTGATGATGATGATGATAATAATGAGAATAAAAATAACAAAAAAATTCAGAATAATATATTAAATAACTTTGTAAAAATCAGTATCAAAACACAAAATTTAAAAATTTCTTTTCTTCTGTTTATATGTTGCTACATCAGCCAGGCCTGCTGACTACTAATTCATTCCTAACACCTGACAATAATAGCCAGTAGAAAAAAAATAAATAAATAAATAACAATGAAAATTTATTTAATAAACAGTTAAGCACTTCCTTTTTATTGTTGAATCAGTATTTGCATTATTAAAATGAAATTTTTCTTATATTTTTTTGCTCAAATAATTTTATAAACAAGTTGAATTTCAAAGATTAAAAATGAAAAGTTACAGCCAAAACATGTTTCCTGTTTCCAAGAATTTTTGTTATCTATCCAAATAAATATTAACATTTATATATAATTAATATATGAATATTATGCAAGACAATTTCAATATCGCGCACAAAATTAATAAGCAAATTACCAACTTTAACATCTTCAATTCTTATTAAGAGAACAGGATGATGATATATGAGATACAATAAATCAAATGACTTTTTGAATTTCATAACGAAATCCAAATTACAGGCACTTTTCAAAGTAACTTTTTGGAACTGTATAATTGGTGTTATACACCTTTTTCATTCTTCTGTTGAATCTTTATATGCAGAAAACAAAGCTCATACAATGGTCTAACTGCAATTTTTAAACAAAATTTGTAATTTGACTTTTATAAATATTACAGTTCAATCTTTACACCTGAGCAAAATGTATATGAATATACAATAGGCAACAGAATTTTATAAACAGTTGGGTGTCTTTTATCATTTTTAAACTACAAAAATGCTCATTCTGACATCACAACCTAAAGAAACAGCATGTAAATTTATTTTCTGAAGGTAACACCATCTATTACTTTTTAAAGATGAAAAAAAGTTGTCTAATACTTTCATGTACATTAATAAGACATTCTGGGAGTTGAATATAAATATCATTGTTTTTAAACATAAAAAACAGCCATAAGAATAAACTAAATTATTCAATGATAAAAGATTGAATGTACTTGACTACAGGCACTTCCAGTAGGTGCCTTAAAAAAGGCAGTCTCTTTAACTAATGACTGAGGGAATAACAACACAAATTTGAGTACATCCAAGCCACTCATTGATATGCTTTGGCATTGAGAATTATGCAGCATTCTGTTGGCTTACTGAAATAAAAAAAAATCTTTTAGGAGAAAATATTTATTAAAATATGAATATTAATTAATTAATATTTTACATTGACTGATCTATTTATTTAGGATTAATCATAAGAATTTTAAAAATATAAATATATTTAAAATGTAAAATGATATTTCTCAGTTATTTCTAATTTACTAGTAGTCTGGGATGCCCCCTAGTGGACGTTCTCTACAAATTCCCATCAGGTACGGTTCCTTTGACTTTTTTATTCCTATCAATATGTTCTACAGCTCTGTTAAAGTCCCAATCGCGTCATATGGATCTAGATTTCTACCTATTAAACATTCTATAAATACTTTAAAATAGTTTAATTTGTTTATTTACCTTCGCTTGTAAACCTCAATTTTAAATGTATCTGCAATTTTTTCAACAAATTTCCTGTGAGTTAATGTGTGACATTTACTGAGTCATGGGATGTTGTAAACATGCGGCGGAAGGTTAATCAAGGCATATAATAAGGCAAGGCAAGGCATATAATAATTAATTATACCATTCCGTGGTATAAATAATAAATTCATATCAATAATAAATTCCTATTACAAATAAAAATAATTTATTGTTAATTTAAAATCATTGCTAAGGAGCCTCTAGTGTCTGTTTTTGGCATACCATTACGCGGACAGACACGCGTTTAATGGGTTATATAGATAGATTATACTTTATAAGATTTTAAATTCCCAATTAAATAACTGATTCACTTTTGCTTTTACCAAATTCAATATTTTCATTTTTAAAATCGAAAAAAATAATTTCTAAAACAGAATAAAAGTATGATGTATGTTGCACATAGCACATAAATGATAGCTCAAAAGTTATTGTAAATCAATAAGAACTAGGTATCCTGACAATGATTGCTTGATTTCTAAAAATTAGATCATCATTTTTTCAGCTATTAAAGATTAATTTCAATGTTTCCTATGTTACAGAATAAAAACCATTCATGAAACAATTTTAATTTCAAATTTGTCATCATTTTTGACAATTATTTTATATTTTTAATCAATTCCTTCATTTTGGAACAACACAGTTCTGATACATCAGGAATACAATACAGTGTAGTATTTCAAATTCTTGTCTTCAAAAATTAAACAACTAGAAAAATTATACGAATTTATTATTTAAGCTTTATTTGGATATCACTAATTGTGAAGAATTTATTTAAACATTGTGTATATTTTTTCAAGTATTTTTTTTATTAACAAAATTTTAAATCTCATCAGTTTGGCATGGAAAATAAATTCACTATCTAAACTAAATGACATTAAATGCATGCTAAAATAATCAAATTTAGAAATTAGGATTCAAATCTTAAATTCTGAATTCAAATATGGTATAATCTATATCTATATCTATATATAAAAATGGACATGTATGTCCCTATATTTCACTTTTCCGCCAAAACTACATATCGCACGTGAATGGTGTTTGTATGTGGTGGTAGCCCCAAGTCTCCATTTGTGCATAGGGGTGGTTGCGTCTTGATAGCTATAAGGGTGCGGGAGATATGAGGCTGAAAGTGGTTGAAAGTGGNCTTAGTAAATCCATCTGATTTTTCATTGAAGGGGCACTTGAAAAGTATGATTTATCAAGAACATGTTTCAGATTTGGAAGCCTTGAAAGATAGTATCACACTACATATGAGAAACATCACAGAAGATCAATTAGCTGACAAACTTCGGATATTCTCAAAAATATTTTGTTATTTTTTAAAATAAAATTTATACGGTGGTCAAATCAAAGCTTCTAGTTTCGTCCTTGTTTAAGTCATTAAGACTTTAAAAGCAAACAACCCATAGTTCGCCCACTTAGCACCCACTTTATCCGTTTTTAAAATTCAGTTTAAGATTACAAATGTAAATTAAATATATTTATTAAATAAATACAAGAAATCTTCATTATAGGATCCTGATAGTTTGTAACTGTACTATTTGTCCTGGCTGGAGATATAGAGATTTACATGTTAAGGAACTTGGATAGTTTGAAATATGGCTACTTCGAAATTTGAAGTGAAAATTCTATCCAAACTGTAATATGAGTACATTAACTTGTTCATTTAGATCGAAGTGCCTCCACACTACAGGGATGCACTCTTTTATTCCTCTGTGTAATTAAGAGCAAGCAGCATCCATTTAAAAATTCCTGTGGAACACATTCCTATATTCTGGCTGGAATATGCACTGTCAGATGGCAAAAATGGCCGTTTACAATGAAAAGCAACATGGCATCCTCCATAGCTCAGATAGTTTTGTTTCAGTGTCCATTATGTGATTTTATGAATGAAAATTTAGAATGTGTGAACGTGCACGTTTTAGTGCACACGATGATATAAGTGCCATCTCAAATTTTTTTTCAAATGATAGCTGGTATTCTAATTTTTTTCATGTCTACTTTGAATGCTCTGTCGGCAAGAAAATCCATTTTATGGTTAAATTTCACAATTGGGACCCTTTTTTTAACTGTTGTCTAAAAATGCTTATTTTAAAATCAATATGGCTGGTTTTAAATAAAATATGGCTGGTTTTCAGGATTGGGCTACAAGTAGCAGATTGAGATATTTATTGATTCTATGCTACTACATTTGGATGGCTTACTACTTTTTGGGCCACTTTGGAAATAATTGGCTACATTTTGAGAAATTATGCTTTACTTTTTGTAAAACCTATCTGGCAACCTCCAAGGTTCTCACTGGACACCTGCTGTTTACCTGCAATTTATTTATATTATTATTATTAATTAATGATAACAACATTCTCTTTATGTGGCCATATTCCTTTTGCTTAATAAATTACATAAGTTACATGGCATTTGGCATATTGAACAGAAATATGCAAATCTTGGATAATTCAAAATTAAATAATTTGAAGTCAATTATTTTGTCCCTTGAATTTTGAACTAATGAGGATTTCTTGTATATAAAAATACACTAAACAAAACATATACATAATTAGTCTTGTCCACAATTATAAAGAGATGTTTGAATATGAATGTAGTACATTTCTATTAACTTTCAAATTATTGTTATGAAATTGCTAAATTTACTTCACTAAAATAACATTAACACAAAGCATGTTAAAATAATTTTAAAATTTTAATATGGTGATATACATTTATTGCCACAATAGAACAACCAATCAATGTATTAACTTTATCAATAAATAAAAATACTGACCTTAATCAAGATCTGGAACTATAGTTTTTGATGTTGAAACTGAATTTGAACTATTGCTGTTTGTACTGCTTGGTGAACTGTCAGTATAAATTTTCAATGCTCTTTCTTTCCTTGGTGAATAATTAACTTTAAGTAATTTGTTTAACCTAAAAAAAAAATAAAATTGTATTTTAAATTTTAACTTAAAAGTTTTAGTTTTAAAGTATTATTTATTGAAAAGTGTTTAAATATCCTGAAAATTGTTATATTATACAAAACTTAATTTTTTTTTTTTTTACTCAAACTTTAACTGTTATCCTATTTTAGAATGAAGTCAATTTTCAAACTGAAAATATTTTGTTAGTTTCTACATATAAAAATTCTTGAAACATGGTATCTCAAAGTTTTTGGATATAATTTAATTTTCAAATTGAATTGTATTAATTTATTTTTAAATATTTAAATAATTTAAAGTTTTGCTACAAGATACAATTTTAATTTATTGATTTGTTCAAAATTAATTATTTCTTCCTACAACTTTTTTTCACTTTACCTGTATCATACATTCTAAAAAAAAAAAAAAAAAAAATAAATAATCAACATATACATTCATTGACAAAAAAGATTATGCACTGAAAAGGAAGCTTTGTAATTAAAACTTTATCAGTGCAAATTTAATGACAATGGGAATAACTGGTTACAATATCAAAGCAAAGAGAATTTCCTGTGTAACAGTAAAATTTAAAGAAACCTTTAGACTTGTGTGTCTGACAGCTACTAACCTAGTGTTTTCTTTATTAGATATTTGACGTTTTTCTTCTTCTGAAAGTTGTTTTAATTCTTCAGTTTTATCCCTGGTTAATAAATTATAAATGAATCAGCTTAAATAAAACTATATATTTTAAAACTACTATTTTTTTAATTATTATAAAAATTAATGAGCAAATATGAAAATTACCTATAGAAAATAACATGCCCATCATCACTAATATAAAGAGGCCAAGTGTTTAAAGATGATGCTTGAGAATGCCAATCAAAATCTGTATGGATGGAGAGAAGAGAAGGTTCACAGGGAAATGTTCCTTGTCCCTAAATTTTTAAAAATATCTTTTATTATTTAAGCAATTTTAATAATTTAGTTTCAATAAATTTAATACTTACTTTTGCAAATTCCAAATTATCAATTGGGATTTTGCTAATTTCTGATAACTATTCAATTAAAAAAATTATATATAAATATATTTCTAATTTTGCAAAAAATAAATTTTTAAATAAAACTAGATATAAATAGATTTTAATAAGAAACTAAACATTTTTAGATAATTTTTGATCATAGATATTTATTGTCATTAAATAAAGTGTATTCTACTAGAAAATTAGTCAGAATTTGGGGTTGTTGGTATATACTATATTAATATTGTTGATAATATTGTTTATCAATATTATCAACAATGACAATATATATATATATACAAATTTTTCATTAAGATATCTCTAACATAAGAATTCTTTCTTTTATCTCATTCAAAAATCATAAAAAGGAAACTGGAAAGTGTTTCAATTTTGTTATTATTTTACATTGGTATCAAGTTTACATTTCATTTAATGATAAAATATTGTAATGAAAAGGAAAATTTGAACTAAAATTTTGGTATATTTGTTAATAATCAAAATTTTGTCCTCATCAATTTTGAGTTTTTTCATCATCATTATAGTTAATACAAACATTGTACAATGATAAAAATTTTATAATTAATTAAGCAATTTGCATTAAAAAAATAAAATTAAATTATCTTGATAACAAAGCCTATCTTATTCATGTTTTTATAGGAATTCTAAGTAAAATAAAATTTTAAATTAATACAAAAATTAACTTAATTTATTACTAATGATGCATTAAAAACTGAAAATGCATTATTCTCATAGAATTATTTTCTCCAAAAAAATTAAAATTAGTTTTGCAGTACTGCCTCAAAATGTTTCTCTTAAAGAAAGGATTAAGATTTTAAAAATGTGACATTGAAGCAAACCAAGAAATTAAGAGTATTAAAAACTAAACAAGTCTCTGAAATTTCTTATAAACAGTTAGATATATATATTTGATCTGTGTAAAAATCCTAATGTATCAAATACTTAAACCATGATATAAAAATATATACATAAAGTATTTTTGAATAAAATGCTTCATTCATCCTTCCACCATAGTAATAAAAATGATTTAATTGAAATAGAATGACTATTCATTTAAATAATTAACTGATGAACAGTGCTATTTTAGTGAGTAAGTAATTTTTTTTATTAGCATTGTGAAAGAGTAAGTGAGATTTAATTTGAAAGCATTTAACTTATTTTATGAATATTTGGCATCATAGTGTAGTTTAAATGCCAAGATTTTTGCACAGATCAAGAAATTTCAAGGTTAGGGAGAATATACTCAGTCTAGTTTTTAATGAGTTTTTCAGTAAAATAATACAATATTAATCATATTAAGAATCAATATTTTTCAATACACTTACTTTTGATTTTAATTCATTTATAGTTCTATTTTCTAGAATTATTTCTTCAAAAGGATCAAGTTGAAATTTTGAAGGATTCCACCTCCTACAGAACACAGCAACTTGAGATTTTGACGTAACTTGTTCAGCACCTAAAAATATTTAATATACCAATAATTACTTTAAATTTTTAATAATTCTTAGTATGATAGTAGAATAAATACTAACTGCAAAATAGTATATGTTTCATTAAGATTTTCCATTATTATTTTGAACAGTAAATTCTGCATAAAAATAAACTGCATCATCAAAGCAGTGTTGCATATAAATAGATAAAATAATAATATATATAATTAAAAGCTTTTCAATTATTATTTAGTAAAACTGTATATTTTAAGTATTCAAACTAAAATTTAGATGAGAATTTGCTGCTTTAAGTGTATCTTGATTTATTTATCATTAAAAAAACCACACACAATATGCTTTAATGTATATAAGTGAAAAATTTAATTACCAGTAAGTACTTCTAGGAAAATTTCCCAATTTGTTGTAATTGGTATATCATCTTCAAACTTTAAATGGTCTAAAAATATAGTCCCTGGATTCTTCCAACTCTTTTTCCTTAATCGACATCTTAAAAGAAGACAAAAATCTTTTATGAAAAATTTTATTTTTTAGTAGTTAAATTAAAATGCTTTTCCCCTCATTTATAAATATAAAATTCTCATAAAATAAAAGCAAAAATAAAAACTTTTCATCAAATTTTGTTCTCAGATGTAAACTACTATTGCTATTAATTTCAAAGAATATTAAAAGCATCAAATTTTTTAATTCTATAATTTTTTTGTTTAATATCATCATTAATTAAAAGCTAAAAATTAGCTGTCAAGAGATACATAAAAAATGTTTTTACTACAAATCATATTTCATTTACAAGAATAAATTAAAATAACTTAAAAAAGAATCTTAAAATATTATACTTTTTTTGACTTAAATTAACATGTTTGATTTTCTAGTAATAAGACCTAGAAAATGCTTAGGTTTTTATTAAAATTTTATTAAGTGCTACATTCTGGAAGAAAACATTAATATTTTGAGTCAATGCCTTATTTTATCATTTAAACAAATTATTCAAGTTGATAAAAGAAATCCTTTTATTGCTAAAGTTCATAAATTTTTGAAAAAGTGAATAGTTTTAAAATAAATGCAGCAAGATGAGAGCAGCAGCTTCTCCTTTTGCAAAATATATATGTAGAATCTATGCAAACAAAGGCAAAAGAGAGATCATTTTTGCATTGTACAAATGTACTCATATGCTCCATGTTCGTTCCAGCAGTAAAATAATCAAAAGGCAATCAATTTAAAAATATATGAACATACTAATAATCTCAGACTGTACTGGTTAAAGACAATATTGCAGAAACTGATTTTAAAAAGTCTTTTTATTTTGTTAGAAAATATATTCAAAATGACCACCTTCAGCAGCAATACAAAGAGATAGATGGCAGTAGGTGGCATTATGGATGGCACATAGCATTCCTGGTGTTACTATTTTACAGGTCTCTCATATGTATCTCAGTTTGCTAACATCACATGATACTATTAAATATGCATCTTAGACCAATGCTTTTAGGTGATCCCACCAGAGGAAAAATTCCAGAGGGAACAAGTCTGGGAAACATGATGGAATTCCATCATGATACCAAACCTGTTGTAGTTGTACCAATGGCACATCAAACCATCCATCCATCATCATGTTTAGGATGTTCAGATATTAATCACTATTTAGTATGCTGCCAATGAATATGAGACCAAGAAGCTGCCCATACCAGACATTTAAATGAAACACACTTGGTGTTGCATATATCAGGTCATCATGGCAAGATACAATTTTAATTTATTGATTTGTTCAAAATTAATTATTTCTTCCTACAACTTTTTTTCACTTTACCTGTATCATACATTCTAAAAAAAAAAAAAATAAATAAATAATCAACATATACATTCATTGACAAAAAAGATTATGCACTGAAAAGGAAGCTTTGTAATTAAAACTTTATCAGTGCAAATTTAATGACAATGGGAATAACTGGTTACAATATCAAAGCAAAGAGAATTTCCTGTGTAACAGTAAAATTTAAAGAAACCTTTAGACTTGTGTGTCTGACAGCTACTAACCTAGTGTTTTCTTTATTAGATATTTGACGTTTTTCTTCTTCTGAAAGTTGTTTTAATTCTTCAGTTTTATCCCTGGTTAATAAATTATAAATGAATCAGCTTAAATAAAACTATATATTTTAAAACTACTATTTTTTTAATTATTATAAAAATTAATGAGCAAATATGAAAATTACCTATAGAAAATAACATGCCCATCATCACTAATATAAAGAGGCCAAGTGTTTAAAGATGATGCTTGAGAATGCCAATCAAAATCTGTATGGATGGAGAGAAGAGAAGGTTCACAGGGAAATGTTCCTTGTCCCTAAATTTTTAAAAATATCTTTTATTATTTAAGCAATTTTAATAATTTAGTTTCAATAAATTTAATACTTACTTTTGCAAATTCCAAATTATCAATTGGGATTTTGCTAATTTCTGATAACTATTCAATTAAAAAAATTATATATAAATATATTTCTAATTTTGCAAAAAATAAATTTTTAAATAAAACTAGATATAAATAGATTTTAATAAGAAACTAAACATTTTTAGATAATTTTTGATCATAGATATTTATTGTCATTAAATAAAGTGTATTCTACTAGAAAATTAGTCAGAATTTGGGGTTGTTGGTATATACTATATTAATATTGTTGATAATATTGTTTATCAATATTATCAACAATGACAATATATATATATATACAAATTTTTCATTAAGATATCTCTAACATAAGAATTCTTTCTTTTATCTCATTCAAAAATCATAAAAAGGAAACTGGAAAGTGTTTCAATTTTGTTATTATTTTACATTGGTATCAAGTTTACATTTCATTTAATGATAAAATATTGTAATGAAAAGGAAAATTTGAACTAAAATTTTGGTATATTTGTTAATAATCAAAATTTTGTCCTCATCAATTTTGAGTTTTTTCATCATCATTATAGTTAATACAAACATTGTACAATGATAAAAATTTTATAATTAATTAAGCAATTTGCATTAAAAAAATAAAATTAAATTATCTTGATAACAAAGCCTATCTTATTCATGTTTTTATAGGAATTCTAAGTAAAATAAAATTTTAAATTAATACAAAAATTAACTTAATTTATTACTAATGATGCATTAAAAACTGAAAATGCATTATTCTCATAGAATTATTTTCTCCAAAAAAATTAAAATTAGTTTTGCAGTACTGCCTCAAAATGTTTCTCTTAAAGAAAGGATTAAGATTTTAAAAATGTGACATTGAAGCAAACCAAGAAATTAAGAGTATTAAAAACTAAACAAGTCTCTGAAATTTCTTATAAACAGTTAGATATATATATTTGATCTGTGTAAAAATCCTAATGTATCAAATACTTAAACCATGATATAAAAATATATACATAAAGTATTTTTGAATAAAATGCTTCATTCATCCTTCCACCATAGTAATAAAAATGATTTAATTGAAATAGAATGACTATTCATTTAAATAATTAACTGATGAACAGTGCTATTTTAGTGAGTAAGTAATTTTTTTTATTAGCATTGTGAAAGAGTAAGTGAGATTTAATTTGAAAGCATTTAACTTATTTTATGAATATTTGGCATCATAGTCTAGTTTAAATGCCAAGATTTTTGCACAGATCAAGAAATTTCAAGGTTAGGGAGAATATACTCAGTCTAGTTTTTAATGAGTTTTTCAGTAAAATAATACAATATTAATCATATTAAGAATCAATATTTTTCAATACACTTACTTTTGATTTTAATTCATTTATAGTTCTATTTTCTAGAATTATTTCTTCAAAAGGATCAAGTTGAAATTTTGAAGGATTCCACCTCCTACAGAACACAGCAACTTGAGATTTTGACGTAACTTGTTCAGCACCTAAAAATATTTAATATACCAATAATTACTTTAAATTTTTAATAATTCTTAGTATGATAGTAGAATAAATACTAACTGCAAAATAGTATATGTTTCATTAAGATTTTCCATTATTATTTTGAACAGTAAATTCTGCATAAAAATAAACTGCATCATCAAAGCAGTGTTGCATATAAATAGATAAAATAATAATATATATAATTAAAAGCTTTTCAATTATTATTTAGTAAAACTGTATATTTTAAGTATTCAAACTAAAATTTAGATGAGAATTTGCTGCTTTAAGTGTATCTTGATTTATTTATCATTAAAAAAACCACACACAATATGCTTTAATGTATATAAGTGAAAAATTTAATTACCAGTAAGTACTTCTAGGAAAATTTCCCAATTTGTTGTAATTGGTATATCATCTTCAAACTTTAAATGGTCTAAAAATATAGTCCCTGGATTCTTCCAACTCTTTTTCCTTAATCGACATCTTAAAAGAAGACAAAAATCTTTTATGAAAAATTTTATTTTTTAGTAGTTAAATTAAAATGCTTTTCCCCTCATTTATAAATATAAAATTCTCATAAAATAAAAGCAAAAATAAAAACTTTTCATCAAATTTTGTTCTCAGATGTAAACTACTATTGCTATTAATTTCAAAGAATATTAAAAGCATCAAATTTTTTAATTCTATAATTTTTTTGTTTAATATCATCATTAATTAAAAGCTAAAAATTAGCTGTCAAGAGATACATAAAAAATGTTTTTACTACAAATCATATTTCATTTACAAGAATAAATTAAAATAACTTAAAAAAGAATCTTAAAATATTATACTTTTTTTGACTTAAATTAACATGTTTGATTTTCTAGTAATAAGACCTAGAAAATGCTTAGGTTTTTATTAAAATTTTATTAAGTGCTACATTCTGGAAGAAAACATTAATATTTTGAGTCAATGCCTTATTTTATCATTTAAACAAATTATTCAAGTTGATAAAAGAAATCCTTTTATTGCTAAAGTTCATAAATTTTTGAAAAAGTGAATAGTTTTAAAATAAATGCAGCAAGATGAGAGCAGCAGCTTCTCCTTTTGCAAAATATATATGTAGAATCTATGCAAACAAGGGCAAAAGAGAGATCATTTTTGCATTGTACAAATGTACTCATATGCTCCATGTTCGTTCCAGCAGTAAAATAATCAAAAGGCAATCAATTTAAAAATATATGAACATACTAATAATCTCAGACTGTACTGGTTAAAGACAATATTGCAGAAATTGATTTTAAAAAGTCTTTTTATTTTGTTAGAAAATATATTCAAAATGACCACCTTCAGCAGCAATACAAAGAGATAGATGGCAGTAGGTGGCATTATGGATGGCACATAGCATTCCTGGTGTTACTATTTTACAGGTCTCTCATATGTATCTCAGTTTGCTAACATCACATGATACTATTAAATATGCATCTTAGACCAATGCTTTTAGGTGATCCCACCAGAGGAAAAATTCCAGAGGGAACAAGTCTGGGAAACATGATGGAATTCCATCATGATACCAAACCTGTTGTAGTTGTACCAATGGCACATCAAACCATCCATCCATCATCATGTTTAGGATGTTCAGATATTAATCACTATTTAGTATGCTGCCAATGAATATGAGACCAAGAAGCTGCCCATACCAGACATTTAAATGAAACACACTTGGTGTTGCATATATCAGGTCATCATGGAACATGTTTTGTCCGGTAGTGCACATTGTGACAATTGTACACTCCATTCTGGAAAAAGTGCCTCATTGGTCCATAAAATGTACTGAAAGAGTTGTGGTTCATCATATAAATTTAACATCATGTCGCATCATTCAAATCACTGTGCAGCATCCTTTGCATGTTATGGTTACAGCATGGATGCATGTCACAGTGACATCATAGCCAGTGTATTTGCATCTGCTGCAGTCCACACATATCTGCTGCTTCATATATGTTTCAATGCAAATATGCAAGTAAGCACAACACATTTTGAACATGTTCTCTAACAAAATAAAGCTCACCTTTTGAATTAATTTCTGCAATGTTCACTTTATCCTTTACATACAAATGATCTCTGACTGTATTGTTAAATCATCTTAAATTGATTCCCACTGGTTATTTTAGCATTGGTACAAAAACACACTGCATGCATACACTTGTGTAATGCTGAAAAAATTTTTTTCTCCCTGAACAGATAAACCATGGTACTCAGTATATAGGATGAATTTAATATTTAAAAAACAAACAGAAAATAATAAAATACTCAAATTAAATTTAAAAAGTTTTTTTGTAAAATCTTTATAAATTTAATTTATTTCTGAAATTGAATTAGTTAATTTTAGCAACTTTTAACAGTTTTGTAAAAACTTTTAAAAGTTGCTAAAATTAACTAATTCAATTTCAGAAATAAATTGTAGAAACTACCTAACAGTCAGTTTACACTCTAACAGCAGAGTTACATTATGTTCACTGTCTTCTGCTTTGCTAGACATCTAACCATAGATGCATTCTGGTCTAGCAATACAACTCCAAAATTAAACAATTTTCAAATTCAACATTTGATACCAAACCCATACTTGGTTAAGTGTTTTACAGTTTGATTATAAACTAGCTATCAACACCAGTGATGGCTAATGACCTTGAAACTATGCTGCCATTGGGCTATAAACCAGCTTTAAAGAAAACTCTGTTCAAGATAAGCAAGTAAAGATAAAGTCTCTGTTCAAGATAAGCAAGTAAAAGAAATAAAAACTTCTTGCTTACTTAAAAAATTTATTGTGGAATACTGCAGTAATTTATATTTTTTACATTTTAAATAATTATTTTTGTATTTCGATCCATAAAAATATTGTTGTTATTCTCTATTTACATAATATGTTGTAAATACAATTTAAATCATTTTAAAATTATTGCATATTATCAATATATGATAACAAAATAATCAAACTCCAATTTTTCTTTTAAAAACATTTTTCATAGATTGATATCCAATTATTAAATAAATAAATGTTAGATTCATAGTCTTGGTTTCTAATACAAGACATAATACAAAAATTCATTGTTGCTTTTTAAGGAAAGTTCCATATCAAAACAATAAAATAATACCTTAAGAGCAAACCAGTTTAATTCTAAATATAAAGTCAAAATCTATCAAAAAATAAAGATTTTTGGAACTATTTAACTCCAGCTTCAGATGGAACTGAAACAGCTTACATAGAATAAAAGAAAAATTTAAACTTAAAATGTTGACTTTATTATTAGTAAAACACATTCATAAAAGTGTCAAGAAGAGGTTTCTAAAAGAAACCATTACAAAAATACTAAACTAGTTAAGCAAATGATAAAAGTATTAATACTAACAATGAGTAAATCCCATATAAAACAAAGAAAAAAATTTTTTAAAAATCTATAAAAATTAAAAATGCAAACAAATTATTTAAAAGCAAATAAGTTCAAGGAGATCTAGTCTAAGTTTTTGTAATAGTGTCCACATCTTATCGTTTCATAAAATAAACAATGGTAGAAGTTTATTAATCTGGCACCTATGAAACCAGAGTGGTACCAGATTATCAACAATGCCAAATTATCCATGTTTTTTGTATTTTCATATAATTTGAGTTACATACAATCTGAATATTTTAGACATTACTGTACATTTTGTACCAACTGTATGTTTTCAGTTTGTTTACATACATTCTTTAATCAATCTGGAGTTGATACAATATATGATTATACTGTGTTAGAATTAAAAAAACTGCAAAAACATTAATAAGCATGTTATCATACAATTAACAACAATCAATTACCCACACAGAGTCTTAGTACACCTTGTGTTTAAATAAATTCAATATCTGTAAATCCATAAACCATTTATCAGTATTGGTAAATGCATCAGTAAAATATTCTGGTAATTTGATATTTTTTCCAGTATTGAAGACATAGAAGCATCAATTTATTTATTTAAACTATTGGGTTGTTTGGAAAGTAATTTAGTTTTTTTATCTCTAGATGGATTAGTAGTATTTTTTCTGCTATTTTCATACTAAACTGTATTATCGTTATATATTTTGACAGCTAGCATTTTAAGGCTTATTTGTAAAAAATTTTGTTTGATTTTGTGCAATTGTTTATTTTTTATTTTTTGTGTCCCATCAAATATGGAAGATCGAAACTAGCATTTTCAGCATACAGTGGTACCTCAGGATACGAAGTTAATCCATTCCAAAACTGAGATCGTAACATGAAAATGTCGTAAGGTGAATCATTTTTCCCCATACTATTACACGCAAAACCAAATAATTCATTCCAACACTAAAAACACACTCAAATTAAAGCTAAGTAGTATATTTTAAAAAAATAACTATAGTAAGGAAAGCACTGAAAAATGCAGTTTGTAGTTGTAAATGTATAAATAACCATAATATAATAATAATTGATTAAAAAAATGTAGTTTTATTTGCACTTTACCTTTGAGGATAGACGACAGTGGAGGTGTAACCTGGTGGCGGAAGAGAGGGAGAAGGGAAATGATACTAAAACTTAACTTACATAACATAATGTAACGATAACTTAAAAATAACTTAGAAAAGATAAAAAATTTGTGTTGTTTTATATATATATATACACTTTTAAATTTTTATTCACAGCTTTTTGCTTTCTTTCCTTTACCTCCACCAGCGCTTTCACTGGACAGAGGTCACTTGGTAAAATATCTATCCAAAGATGTTCGGCTTTGTCTACTTTTTAAAATGTTTCTAAAATGACTTGGGCAAATGTCATTACTCAGAGCAGCAATACGGCCAGCGTAAACCTTTTTGGAATGTTTCTTTTCAATAAAATCAGTCACTTTCTGATAATAACTTGAGATTTCCTTTATTGAGTGAGATCCTTCCACAACAAAGCAAACGTGCGGACTGAGAACGATGAACAGATGTGAATAAAAAATAGCGCTGCAAACTAATGTAACGTCGTATGGTGAGTTTTTGTTCGTATCGTGGAGCAAAAATATGTTCGAATTTTGTGTCGTATCCTGAAAATTTCGTATGCTGGGGCGTTCGTATCCTGAGGTACCACTGTATTTTGCTCTTTTATTACCAAAAAGGTAAGAATGCTGTTCAAGTGAGAAAAAAATTGTGTGACATGTATGGAGAAGATGTATATTGCCAGAATGACAGTGCCAAAACTAGTTTACAAAATTTCGTTCTGGCAATTTCAATATTGAAGATGCACCATGTTCTGGATGGCCAGTTGAACCAAATAAAAACAAAATAAAGGTACTGATTGAAGCAAACTGCTGAATAACAACATGTGAAATCACTAAGAGATTAAATTTGTCAAATTGAACTATTTATGATTACTTGAATCAAATTGGTTTTGTTTTTAACTATAAGACATTTACTTGAAATAACAATGTCAAAAATCACATTGGTCAGTTTTTTGTAAGCAACGATCAAAACTTTTCATGAATGTGAAATCATGCTACTACCAGAAATGATGACAATAGGTATTTGACCAAAATGGTTGATACATAATTCAATAAAATATTTATTTATTATAAAAATATTGTGTTTTTTCCACAGAAAAAAAATGAAATTACTTTCCGAACAACCCAATATAAAAGTAGTTTACATCATTTACAATTCTTTACAATTTTTAATTAAAGTACAGTATCATATTGCAGCACTATGCTAGACAGTTTGCATTTGTTCCTTAACTTGTAATGCTTACAGCACATCAGTAATTTTAACTGAGTAACATTTTAGCTAACAAAATGGAAAATATTTATTTGAATGTGAATGCTCTTGGCAACTGTTTATTCATAGCAACTAAAAAATTATGGCATGCTCTATTTTTCAGGCAATAAAACTATTTTCTAAACAGGAGAAAGAAAACTGAACTGGACATAATTTACTAGTGACTGTTTAGTCGCTGACTAACCAATGAATCAGCAACTAAACAATCACTAGAGCACTAATTTTTGGAATTAAAATTTAAAAAATTACAAATAAACCAGTAATGTTTTGAAAATTTACCATTTTACTGGTAATAAAATAGGCAATAAATAGGCAACTCCTAAATACTAGCAGGCTGGATTACCATTAAACAATTTAGATTATTGCTTTTCCAGTACAGTAGAGTGTCGTTTATCCGAATCAATTGGGGACTGGGGTTGTTTGGATAACTTATTTTTCAGATAATCGATTATGTACAAAAAAATACATTAACCTATCCCATGTTGAAATTTTTCTGCATTGCGTGTCGCTTCGCGTTGAATTTTCGTCAATGTTAAGCCTAACATAAACTTTTTAAAATAATAATTGTGGCTATTGTATCATTAAAAATTATTTCTTTATTTTTTACAAACGAAATAAATATATTGAAAAATATAAAAACCAAAAATATATACTTTAGAAGTTGATCTAGTATCAAAAACGTTTGATTCAACACCACACAAAAATGCCAGGGCTGCCAGCTAAAACACACACACCAACAAAAAAATATTGGAGTAGCCCAAGATATAGCCAAAGATTGCAGTGCCACAGCACTAGTGAAAATTTAAATTTGCCAACTGAAATGCTTTCGGTTAACCGACGTTTCAGATAAACGACGTTCTATTGTATTTTATTTTTATGGATAATTCCAGTTGATACTGAATTGTCGGTCATTCTGAATTGTTGGGCACAAAATTAATGAACATCTATTGTATATTAATTTGTATAAACAATAAAACCAAAACTGTAGAATTACTAAATTGCTTAAACTATATTAATATTTAGTAAAGTTAGTGTTTTACTCAGTTAAAGTTGAAAATAAATTTTGTGAAAATATAAAATGAATAATAAAAGAAAAATTCAAAATAATAATAACAATAATAAAAGAGCTTCTTGTCTTGAAAATTGTTAAAACTAATATCTTAAATACTATAGTAGAGATAACAGATACTGAAATATACCAGTAATAAAGTTGAATTCTGATGATAGAAGAATCATTTTGATGTTACCAGTAGCAGTGTGATAAGTCTCTGTTATCTCTACTATAGTATTTTTGATATTAGTTTCAAAAAATAAAAATTGTTAATTCAGCAAGTGAAAATTATTTTGCCCCTCTTCAAATTGATATACCACATTTTAACTCTATATCAAAATGTGGTATCATTTGACACCTGCTTTAATCCAAAATGCTTTCATGACAAGATGAAATAACTTCACATTTTTTACAATTTGTAATTCTTGCAATGAAGAAATAAAATCATTCCAGCGAAAAGTTCAAATATTGGCTTTAAATAATTATAGTTTTATCACAAATCTTAGATTAATTTAATAAAATAAAATCTATAGTAAACTAGATATTGGACTCTTATGAGAAGAAAAATAATTCCATAATTATAATTTTGACAATAAAATACCGCAATAGGAAAAAAGCAATTCTTGAAAAATGTTCTCAATATAGTAGTCTTGAAGGTTTGAGTCACTACCACTCTTAAGCTAAAGTAACATACTCAATCAGAATGCATAAAAATTACATATTTGGGTAATTCAAAGTGTATGATGACACACTGAAATTGTAAGCTTATTGAAAGGTCTAACATCAGCTTTCAATTTCTTGTATTTGTGTGTGAAAAGATATGGTTGCCAGATACTTCCAGATACAGTTGTTACTTGCCCAGATCATTATCATATTTTAAAGCACGATATATTATCATCATCATTATCATTGTTTTCTATTATATATATATATGTATATACTTTCAGTTTTTAATACTTTGAGGTTGTCTCATTCCCAATCAACTTGAACTATAAAGACTACTGTAATAACTTATGAAGAACCAAACTTATTGTCACTACTTACCTATTTAATGGAATATCTAGAAAGCATTTTTCTCTAATTTCAGGCAATATTTCCTTCTTAGCTTGTAATACAGTCATACCACGTGAAAATACAAAATCTATTAAGAATTTGCAAGGCTAAAATAAAATAAAAATAAACTTAGTAAATTTTTACTTTTATACATAAATACACACAATCAGTATGTAAATTGTATATTATTATTATTATGTTGGGTTTAGTGGGTTATACTCGGTTCACACCAGTGGCTGTGTACTATGCTGGACTAGAGTCAACCAAAAACAAAAATTAAATAAGTGTGTCAGTGTGTGTTTCTGTATTCAGGAATTTCCTAACAATGTGGCATGTATTCAATATAGTGGCCTTCTGTAGTGTGATGTATGTATTTCTATTCAATTGTAATGTTCCCAGGCTTTTGTGTAGTGTGTGGTATGATACCTGTAGAGGAGAGGACAACAGGTACAATAAGCACCCTTTCCATCCTCCACAGAGATTGCAGTTCAGGAAAGTGTTCTGTTAAGACATGTTGCTGTTTTTGTGAGGAACTGTTTTTTCATTCTGGTGCTTGGGTTAGGTAAAGATTTAAAATAATACAGTAGGAATAGTATATACAGTACAGCATTGATTATCCGACCCCCGATTAACCGTCACATTGGTTAACCGACCGTTCTAGTCGGCAAATTTCAAGTGTCCGCTAGTGATGTGGCACTACAATATTTGGCTATGTCTTGGCTACTTTAATATTGTTTTTATTAAATTTTTGCGTGTTTTAGCTGACAACACTGGCTCGACCATGAAAGAGAGGCCAGTATTTAAACGAGATTTAATTTTCTAATTATGAGTGGTTGTTTGTTTTCTGAGCAATAAAATAATTTTAAAATATTTTTTAACGATACAATAGCTACGATTATTATTTTTAAAAAAATGTTATTAGCCTTAACATCAATGAAAATTCAACGTGAAGTATGTTAATAGTGATATACTAATACAGTGGTGCCTCGTATAACGTACTTAATCCGTTCCAGGTGCACGTCCGTTAAGTGAATAGTCCGTTATACGAAACGCGTTTTCCCATAGAAATACGTGTTAAAACATATAATTCGTTCCGTGGCATAAAATAACCGTACTGTACCATAAAAAAACGAAAATGGAGCAGTCACCAATTATGCCGGGTAGTCAGATGTTGTGAGGAGGAGGTGGAGGAACACTTTCTTCACACATTCATACAGATACAGACTTTTTACACATTGCAGCGAGTCTTTTTTTTATTGTTTTTTTAATCGGATTCAGATTCAGGAGAGGCTACTGGAGCTGGCAGGGTCAACTCCTCTTGTTCCATCCTTTGTTTTTTGGTAGCTGGCTTCTTGAAAAACATGTCCAAGGTGATCTGTTTCTCTCTCTTCTTCAACACCTGTTGGAAATGACGGGCAAGAGTGTCATTGTAGAGATCATTGATCCTGTTGGCCTCAGCTCTGTTTGGATAATGAGTGTTGGTAAACTCCTGAACCTCTCCCCATTCGACAAGGAAGTTTTTGTCAACTTTCACTCCTTCTGATGATTTCTTGCATTGTTTCAATTGAAATCACTTTTCTGTTGTTTTAGAAACCTTGATTTGCACAACACTTGAATAAATGTAAATACCCTGCACTGTGTTGATGTACCTAATAAACAAGGAAGCAAGCCTAATCCAACGCTCTGTACTTCAGATATACTGATAATATATTCTAATAACACTAATATACTATAAAAATAACATATTGTCATTGGAAACGGCAAAAGAGTGGAAACATCATTTGCACTTGTTCGTAGAAAGTCCATTGGTTGCATCACGTAACTGCCGAACGGAAAGTCCGTTGTCCGCAACCAGTCCGTTGCTCGAGTCACGTAACGGCCAAACAGAAAGTCCGTTATTCGCAGCGTCCGTTATTCGAGGCGTACGTTATACGAGGCACCACTGTATACTAATTACATGGGATATACTAATATACTATACTAATAATGTATTTTTTCATTCTTTTCGATTATCCTATTTTTTCAGTTATCCAACCAACCTGAGTCCCCAACTGAGTCGGATAATCGATGCTCTACTGTAAATAAAATTAAAGTCAATCCAGTAAATTAATACCTAAAGAGTTAGCAGGGATAAGTCTCAAGATATAATCATGGAGCTAGAAGAAGGAATAAAAGAGAAACTATTCACTGTCAAAGAGTGTATAGAGGCTGCCCGCAACATGCGGACAGAACTTAAAGACAAAGCCATTCAAAGCCTGGCTGGAGTAAGCTTTCTGATTCAGGAGCTCAAGAAAAATTTTAATCAAGTCATCCAGCAACAAAATCTCCACATTGACTCCCTCCAGCAACCTGATAGAAATAACCAGGATTCTGGGACTTTAAGTTATATTTATGTGTGTCTAGCGTGATTGTAGTACCATCTATTAAAAAAAAAACTAAACATAAATAAATAAATATAAAAAACTAACTTAGTGGTTTCTAAGGTAGGCATTAAGTAATTTTAGATAAGTCACATTGGTTGGTTTTTATCCAGGCACCAGAACTTTGGTTATTAAATGCAAAAATGTTTCTATGTTTTCCTGCTTACTTGCACATACCTCTGTACCACCGAACACTGTACACACCTCTCTAGTGATTGGTTGTGTCTGGTTTCTAGCCCAATTCCTAATAGGTATCTTTTGATTTTTTTTTAGCAGCAGATGGCATATATTTACTTCTTTTGAGGTTTAAGGCATTAATTCTCTTCAAATTCACTTCAAAGAGCCTTCTATTTGGAACAATCAAAAATAAATATATGTATTTTGCACCCTCTTCTGGCTGGTGTTCTTCTATCCTAAATACCACATTAGCATAAGACTAGTAATTTGTTTCTGCAGAGGTGTATTATTTCTCTGCTATTCTTATTGAACAGTTTCTCTCCTATACCAATCTTCCCCCAACAATGTTGGCAGGTTTCTCTTAGCACCTTTACAGCAGCCTTGCTCTGCAGGCAACACTCCCTTAAATAGTATGTATTTGTTTCGCTCCTTCTTCACATTACACATTATAATACATTTTACATTTCTCATTGTTAGTTCTTAGGCCTCTTAGTGCTCTCAAAGCGGGAAGATGTCTTTTCTATAGAACTGCAGAAAAAAAATCCTCCACAGATGCCTTATTTCCTGGATGAGTTCTGTGACAAGTTTTGTACATTGTGAGTGTTTGGAATGGCTATGTCTATAATGTATGTGATTTTATTGTGTTTGTCAATGAGTGTGATGTCTGGTCTGTTGTGGTAAATTGTTTTATCTGTGATTATGGCTCTGTCATAGTACATTTCTTGCGTATTATTTTCCAATACTGTCTGTGGGATATACTTGTAGTATGGTTCGTGAATGTCTACCAAGTTGTGTTTCTTTGCAAGCTCTTGGTGTATTATATTTGCTACTTGATTATGTCTGTGTAAATAATCTGTCTGTGCCAAGAGCTTGCACCCAGAAGTGATGTGTTGTATAGTTTCTGGCATGATGTGACATTTTCTGCATGTGTCATTTGTGAGTGTTGTATCTTTGAGTATGTGTTTTCTGTAGTTTTTAGTATTTATGACCTGATCCTGTATGGCAATCATGAATCCTTCCGTCTCCCCAAAGAGGCATCCCCGATCTAACCAGCTGTTTGACGCAGTTTTGTCAACAAAATCCTGGGCAAGGTCATAAGGATGCCTGCCATGGAGTGCCTTACGAGCCCACGATTGCTTGATGGTGTCTATGCTTTTTATATGTTGTGTCATGTCTGTATGATGTGAGTGTAAGTTTAATGGTGTGTTATTTGAGTCTGCTAGAGTTACTGCTTTATGTAATTGTGATGTTTCTTGTTTCCTGTAGAAAAACTCTCGCAGTGATATTATTATTATTATCATCCTTACAATATAAGAAAAAAAAAAAAAACATTATTAAAACAATAGTCTATTTAAAGAAATTCTCATGAATAAAATCAAATGAAAAAAATAATGTATTTATTGTATTGTAAAAATTTACTATAATAAAATAAAAAGTTCTATATTTTCAATATTACAATGGAGACTGTTCATCATTTTGAGTTCAAGACTAAGCATTTCATGAAAGAGAAAATGTTTATTATAATGGCTTCTAAGAAATGAGTTTTATTACTGATGTTCCCAATGTATATGATTGCCTTTGACTGTTCTAATGTAATGAAACATTGTCAGTGTATGACTATATTCATAAAGAATAGCACTAAACTTTTCATAGAAAAAAAACCTTATATGTATAGAATTTAATTTAATAAAATAAACAGTTTTAATTAAAATTATATTTTCAATGTAAGATAAAATGTTAGTGAATTATATTACATTTTTTTTTTTCATCATTTTCTTTCCTACATTCTCTCACAGTGTACAAACTTCTCTCATGTTTGAATATATAATTCACATATCTAAGAATATCATTAAATATGAATTTTGTTGCTAGTCATTGGTTTTAATATACTTCTATTTATAAACATCTGATAAATAAAACAATTTTCCTGAAAATGCATAGAACAAATTATACAATACTCTTAGGCTTACAAGGAGAGTTATGATGCAGGTATTGTGGTTTTCAATGATGATTTTGTGAATAAATCTTGGTTTGAACCTTTATTGAGCAAAGAGACAAAGCATGCTTCTCAAACATTTTCAAGAAAATTGAAGTTAAAAAATCCCAAGCAACTTATGCCTTGTAAAATCTTTCAATGAAGATTCTATGACTTGACTGCAATGTTCCTGACTGCTAATTATGAGATTCTTGGTTTGCAAATCAATATAATTTTTTGCTTTTTGCATTAAAAAAATTGTAAAATTACATAGGATTATACACTTTGTCTATTTTTTTTTTTTTATTAAAATGGCATGTTTTCTATTCCTTGAAAATTCATTTTTGGAATTGTTTGGAAGTTTAAAATAAATTTAAACTTTATTTTTAAAATTGGAACAACTAATTATTTTATAGTTTATGATTTTATTCTTACTTTATAATGCGTTTTTACTGTCTGCTTGTTTTATTAGCCATGAAAAGAGAAAAAAATAAGAAACCAGAGAAATGACATTGAAAGATGATTGTTTACTGTCACATACAACGATTTAATTTTATATTGAAAGCTACTTATAACTAATAATTTTTTGAGATTATTTAATTATTTAAAATGTCAAATTATTCATAATATTCTAACATTCCAAAATGCAAAAATGTTTGCATTTACTTTGGAATGGACAGCAATTTGAAAACAAATTTTTCAAAGAGAAAATGTACATTTTTAATTAAAAAAAATAGACAGTATATGTAAACTCATGTAATTTATAAATATTTTAGGCTAAAATTGCATTTATTTTGAAAAATGTTTACTCAGAGACATGAACCAGCCAACCTTGAGATAATCAGTCAGGTACAATGTTGCAAAGCCACAGAATTTTCATTGAAAGATTTTGCAAAGCATACTAATAAGTTGCTCAGGATTATTAAACTTCAATTTTCTTGAAAATGTTTAAGAAGCATTCATTCTTCCTTTGCTCAATAAAACTTTATATCAAGGCTTAACTACATAATCAATATCATTATAAACTATGATGGCCAAGTTCCGATCCTCTTGTTAGCCTTAATTTTTGCTATCAATTCCTTCAATAAAGTGAGTTGGAATGAGGAAAATGATCCTTATTTATTACCTCTAGCAGATATAGCAGCTTAACTCATTCAGTTTTAACATTCATTCAAATCTACTATTTAATTTCCATCAATATTTTTCTCCTTGTTTTTATAATATACAGTGACTAGAAACATCCAATTTATCCTCTGTCTATTTTTAATCACCATTATTCTTTAACCTTTTAAGCAGTTATTGTTTCTTTCGAAGAATATGAAATTCTTTTTCCTCCTATACCCTCTTAAAAGCTAGATTTCCAACTAAACAGAAAATGAAAATCTGTTTTTCTTCTTCCTTTTCTAAGGGAAGAGGAAGAGCAGAGGTGTTTTATATATCAGCTTTTTCTGAATTTTCAAAATTCTTTAAGCCTAATTCCACATTACTCTGCAAATTCTGCAAGATGCTATAACTCATCCTCTGACTTCATTCAATTAGAGATTCTAATGTTTTCCTAATCAGTAAAACATTATTAACCTCAGTAATATAAATTAATTATAACTTTCTAGAACATTAATGGATAAAAAATTAAAGTCATATGTAAAAGAGAAAGTTTTGAAAAAGTTTATATAATAACTATCATTTTAACAAATTGAAATAATTTCTAGTTTTATGAAATATAACTTACTTCTTGTTCATTTATCAACAATTGATATATTTTTACATGGTATTCTCCTTTTCCTAACACTCGCCCAAGCTTAACTGTCAGCTGAAAATAAAAATTAAATTATTAATTTTAATTATTATTACATAATTTTTTAAATGAATATTAAACTACAAATAAAAAGTAAGAATATCACACAAAGGACCACATGAAAATTATATATACAAATAATAATGAATTTCAATTGATTACTTTAATCAATTAAAATTTCCTTTGGGGGACTTTGGGGAAGGTCCCCAAGTCCTCCCTCCATCTTAGTCATCCTGTTGACCTCCAACCAGTGGGTCTATTGTTATAGGCTATCTATAACAAAAGATCATGCAGCCTGTCTATATGTTCCTTCCATCCATTCCAGTATTCTGTAATTTCCTCCATGATATGTTTAACGTTTAATTCCTTTTAATTCTACCTCTTTTCTAATCTAGAGTGTCTAGCTAAAAATCTGTACATTTGCATTTCTGCTGTCTCTTTTCTGTATTTGTCCTTCTTTCTGCAAGTCCATTATTCACTACCAAATTTTAGTATTGGTTTAATGAAGATATTGTAAATTTTAACATTTAACAAATCCTCTTTGGATATACAGTAGAGCGTCGATTATCCGAAAGTCAATCATCCGAAAGAATTCCAGTCAGCAAATTTAAATTTTTGCCAGTGCTGTGGCGCTGCAATCTTTGGCAATGTCTTGGGCTACTCAAATATTTTACGTTTTTGATGCTAAATTAACTTCTGAAGTATAAGTTTTATTGTTTTTATATTTTTCAATATATTTATTTTGTTCGTACAAAATAAAAAAATAATTTTTAACGATACAATAGTCTTCGTTAGGCTTAACATCGACGAAAATTCAACGCGAAGCGATACGCAACGGAGAAAAATGTCAAGATGGGATAAATTATATTTTTTCGTACATGATCGGTTATCCGAAACATCGATCCTCCGAACAACCCCAGTCCCCAATTGATTCGAATAATCGACGCTCTACTGTATTATATATAGCACTGGCAAACAGATTTTAACATAAGTTATTCCTCAGATTTGTCACAATCAATCTTCTGTATTCTAAATCTTTTTCTTCCAATGGATTTACAATGCATCCAATATATTTGAATTGATTGACCTGTTCTGTGGGTATATTATCAATAACTGTTTCACTTCTGATTAAGTCTCTCTCTTTAAAGGCTATTGTTTTGGTTTCGTTAAGAGATTTTCATATTATATTGTGGGATGGTCTAGTTTAAGTATGTAGAGTTTTTGTAAATTGATCTACATATTATCAGAAGTAGGTCAGAGTACAATAAAATGTATAAAATTTCTATTTCCAATTATGACTCTTGGAAGCGTGTTTTTTTGCAGCCTTTCCTAAAACATTTCTCCACATATAAATTGAAAAACAAAGAAGAAAGCCTGCTGCCATATTGAATCACTGACATATTCTAATTAGTTCAGTGATAATGCTGTCTTACATTAAAATAAAATTATCATTTTCTATCAGAAGTCTTTTATAGTACTTTTTAAATTTGAAAGCTATTTTTAAATTTGAAATTCATCCAAAATATTTAATTTGGTAGCCGTAGTTATATTGTGCCTCGTTATATAGCAGATTCAGATATAGCGCTCTGATTTTTGGTCCCCAAATTTTATAAGCACTTGACTCAATAAATTTTAAAACATTAATTGCCATTGAATTTCTTTTTGAAATGAAATACAGTATTTTATTTCTACTGTTATCCTTGAAACTACCACTGCAGGTGAAACAATAAATTCATCAAGATATAAATGAGCAAAACAGATGGACAGATCAATTATCATTTATGTTTTCTTTTGATATTAAAAGTTGTTTATTTATTGATTTTAAGTACTGTACTGTCTCCTCATTTACAACTGTCTATGAATTCAAAATTTCACACCTTTATGTGAATTGGCTCAATACCTTCAATTCTCATAAAGGTGTGAAATTTCCAATTCACTGTGTAATGTGTACAGAAAAGATTTCCTTATTTCCAAATGAAAAGTTCTAAAATTTTTATACAGTAGTAACTTTATTTTGCTTTTTAGAGAATTTTTACTCTATAATTTTATAAGTTTTGATGTTCTATTATATGTTCAATATTTATTTTTAAATTTTCAATTACTGTAATTATAATTTTTATTAAAAAATATAAATTATACAAATTTTTAATAAGCAATTTATTATGAAATACAGTACTATATAATAAAATCACAACTGATATTTTGATTTTATCTTTGACAGTATTTGTCTTTAAATGTCATTATTAAAGAAACAATAATACTAAATGGACGTTCATGGTATTGATGTTTACATGAACATCCATTAATATGCTATAACCACAAATAAAATTCAGTATTGAAAAACTAAGCTTACTTTATATCAGAAAACACTTGCTGATGAAAGAATAGAGGATACAGATTCCATAAAATGTATAATCTGTTTAGTATAAGCCCAGAATTTTTAGTATACTCAGTTATAATGTGCTTTTTCTTTACCTCCTAACAAGTGTGATATAATTTTATTTTAATGTAAGACAGCATTACCACTGAACTAATTAGAATATATTAGTGATTCAACATGGCAGCAGTCTTTCTTTTTTGCTTTTCAATTTATATGTGGAGAAATGATTTAGGAAATGACTACAAAAACACACACTAACAAAAGTCATAATTAGAAATAGAAATTTTATACATTTTATTGTACTCTGACCTACTTCTTCTAAATTGGGATCTGTTAAAGTGAGAGTTTATTGTATTTTGAAAATTCATCTTCAAATTATTTATATTAAATAAGACAGTTTTTTAAGAAATAGTTTCAAAAAATTTTTTCTGAACTTCCAAATATAAAATGAACACAGACAATATGCCCATAAATTTTTAGTGTTTTCAAACACTAATAATTCTTAGCATAAATAAAAATAAAAATTGAAATGGATATATAGAAACATACAGTCACATTTGTATCTATTAGAACATACTAAATATAAATATCATTTAAATAATAAAATTTTACCCTAGTGTCATCACCATATTGTGTTAAATTTTCTGCCATCCTCATACATTCAAATTCTTGATTGTTCGAATATAATCTGTAAATCTGTAATACATACAAATTCAATTAATCAATTTTGATTAAATTAGAAATATAACACTATAAAAAAAAATAAGAAAATACATTTTATAAAGTAAAAAGTAATATATTTCAATATTATTGTAAACTAACAAAATATTTCAAAATGCATTATTAAAAAATTACTATTAAAACATGTTTTTCTTGAAGGTTTTTATTTTAATTTATAAATATTATGTTTTTAACACGATTACTTCATGCCAACTCAATTTTGGCATTGTTTAGTCTTAGTGGATCAAACTATCAGAATCTGTTTCAACTGTTAAGTTAGTTTAGTTTTTAGAAAAAGTTCTAACTAAGCAACTAAACAGTCTTAACTAAAAGATGCCAAATTCAAAACTATTTCACTATAAAAATTTACCTTAAAATATTGTGCAGCTACTCCAATCCATCGTTCAAGTTCTTTCTTTAAATTTCCAAGTGTAATTCGTTTATCCACATATACTCTAAGCACTAAAGCAATACATTTCATATTTATAAATATACATATTTTAAAATATTTGTACAATTATTAAAATATATTAAAACTATTAAAATTAAATGAAAAATTTAGTTTCATTTTATTCCTTAATGACAGATATAAAGAATGAAAAAGGAGATAAATATTATGTATCATTTCCATATATTAAAAAAATAGTTTTTTTTTTTTTTTTAAGAATAGCCTTTCAAATAATGTCATTCTAGCACCTAGCCTTAATAATCATATATATAGTAATATTAATAGAATAAAAAGAAAATATAAAGAATATAGAAAAGTGACAGGTGTGATTATAGTATCCCCTATTTGTGTAAAAATAAGAGAATATATGCAGAAAAAACAGGATGTTTGAATGTAGATTCAAAAGTGCATGAATATATGATAAGATATAGAAATTCACCCTTATATTTGCATGTGGGGGAAAAAAATGGTTGTCATGTAGATAAACAGAATGTTAAAATATTATATAGAGAAAAAGGTAATCATAAAAGGAAAGGAAACTTGTAGACCACTTTGACATTATGAAACACAAAAAATAACAAATTTAAATAATGGTATAATAGTTAATGCAAATTTTATGACTTGGCTACTTGGGACAGTATAGTGAAAGGAATCTATTTGTAATCATTAATTGAGTTTGTGCAGATTTATTATAAAAATTTTATAAAATATATGCAGGCATGTAGTAGTTTTTGGACATTTCTTTTTATTTTATGTGATTTATGATTTGGTTTATTGCATCATTGTAGGATGTATTGAAGAGGACCATGATCCAAAATGCACAAACATTAAGGATTTTAATAACATATATTGATAATATCTTTGTCTGCCTAATGTCAGTCATTTCGAAAAGGCATTGACTGTTTACATCAGGAATAGATAGATACAATATTTAGTTTTACTAAATTTGTGAAGTATTAGTGGATTAATCAATATTAAAACTCAAGTCATAGTTTATATGATTTAATAATAAAAATTGATATTTGAGATTGTACCTATTCTGAAATTAATTGCCTAAAATTTTCTAATTTGTCAACTCTTTCTAAAACACCTTTTAAATAATGAATAAACAATAGACAATACAAAAAAAAATAATCAACTCCACCCTTCATTAATTAATAAATTAATTATCAGAATAAAATGCCAGTAATAATGATAATACTGTTATATTGATAAAAATTAGTTTATGTATTTTGTTTTACTGTCAAAAGCATTTTGTTCTACTAGTATCAATTATTTACTGGCATCAGATTAACAGATTAAACAAATTAAATATTACTTAAATTTAACAATAATGAGCTTATATATATAAAGGCAAAAAACTGATTGTATTGCAATCAGTTTTTTGCCTTTATATACAACATTAAAAAATTTTGAACAGGTAGAAATACAGTAGAGCGTCGATTTTCCGAAAGTCAATCATCCGAAAGAATTCCAGTCGGCAAACTTAAATTTTCGACAGTGCTGTGTTGCTTCAATCTTTGGCTACGTCTTGGGCTACTCAAATATTTTACGTTTTTGATACTAAATTAACATCTGAAGTATAATTTTTTATTATTTTTATATTTTTCAATATATTTATTTTGTTTGTACAAAATAAAAAAATAATTTTTAACGATACAATAGTCTTTGTTAGGCTTAACATCGACGAAAATTCAACGCGAAGCGACACGCAACGGAGAAAAATTTTGACATCGGATACGTTAAACTATTTTTTCGTACGTAAATCAGTTATCCGGACAACTCCAGTCCCCAATTGATTCGGAAAATCGACGCTCTACTGTATTACATATTGTTATTGTTGATATAAGCAATTGTTAATTTGATACAGGAAAATTTTAATTTATAAATTATCTGTTAAATAAGTTAAATCAATATTATTGTTTAAATATAACTTAATTATTAATTCATGTAATTTATTTTATTTATTGAATATGATCTATGAAAATTCTGTATATTTGGTTCTTACACGTTATTTATAAAAAAATCTCTTGGTTAAATCTACAAAATGTCTGATATTCTGAGAAACAAATGTGTCTGGACATTTTATTATATTCAAACTTTTCCAGACTATTATTGAGTTAATATTTAAATGTATTTAAAGACAGATATTAACATTCAATTTATTAATGTCTAGTGATTTACGAACAGTAATATACTGTATAACAATTATGATTCATCAAACTTCTTTTAACAGATATGTGAAAATTTGGAGTAAAACTTATCCAAAAACTTAAACTAAATTAATTCATAGCTATGTAAAAATACAAAATAAAAAATAAATCTTAAAACAGTTATTCTATAAAGAAATCTTTGTTTTCAAAAATTTTGAAATTTATCATCTATAATTGGAAAAAAAAAAAAAAATTCATATCACAACCAGCAAGTCGACAGCACATATTTAAAATTTATACTTCCCCGTCATACCATAAAAATTATATTTATAATTTCAAATAACAAAAAGAAAAAAAATTCAATTATAGAATTCTCATTGTAAAACTTAACTGAATTTTTATAACTGATTGCAAAAACAAGTTTTTTTTAGCTAAAGATGAAAATATTTTCAGAATTATATTATCTGAAAACATTCTTCTTAATTGAAATTTATGTAATTTTACCATATGTTTAAACTGTATTATTTTCATTATTATAAATAAAAGTTAAACTAACAAGTTATTTTCAACTTGCTGGTAAATGTATTGAATATTTTTAGATTTTTATTGTAAAAAACTATTCTGTACATTTACAAATATTAATAGAGTTTATTAATACTAAAATTATAAATATTTGTACACAATACTTAACTTTTTTCACCAGTTTCAATATCAGTGTAAGGCCAAGCTCTAAAATATCTTTTCACTATTTCATTTTTTGCTTGTTCACCAAGATAAAAACCATCTGACTGCCAGACTTCAGAAGAATCTTTCTCTGCTTTGTTATAATCTCTTGTATTTTCTTCAGGAGAAGAAAGATTTCTGTCATCTTCACAAGGTTCATTATCTGGAGAGCAACTACTACTACTATTACAGACACTTTCATATTCAATTCGTTTAGTTACAATAATATTTGCAGCATTAGTACCATTTAATAATTCACTCACTTTATGATGAGGTTCAGGATCATTTTCAATTTCATTACACATAAGATCTGGAGAATTATTTCTTGGAGATAATTCATCACCAACTAATGTCCTTTCACTGTCTGTAAGACTACTATCTTCTGATTGATCACTATGAACAGCTTGAGCACTAAGATAACTATTTGAAGAATCACAATATTCACCATCACCTAGACCTTCATCATAATCTTGTGATGCATCAGATGATACCAAAATGGGACTATTTTTTGGTAAATCTAATGATGAAATCTCCCCCATTCTATCACCTAAACCTAAATAAATATCTTTACATTAATAATATGATATCAGTTATTTATAAAAAAATCTCTTGGTTAAATCTACAAAATGTCTGATATTCTGAGAAACAAATGTGTCTGGACATTTTATTATATTCAAACTTTTCCAGACTATTATTGAGTTAATATTTAAATGTATTTAAAGACAGATATTAACATTCAATTTATTAATGTCTAGTGATTTACGAACAGTAATATACTGTATAACAATTATGATTCATCAAACTTCTTTTAACAGATATGTGAAAATTTGGAGTAAAACTTATCCAAAAACTTAAACTAAATTAATTCATAGCTATGTAAAAATACAAAATAAAAAATAAATCTTAAAACAGTTATTCTATAAAGAAATCTTTGTTTTCAAAAATTTTGAAATNTTGTGTGATTAAGAATTTGACTAAATAAATAAATAATTTAAATCTGCATATATATGCTTATATTTTTTCATATTTCAATGAATTGAGAAAAACATTTCACAAATCTACTTAAAAGACCAAATATGGCTAATTATATATAGATTAAATTTTATAAACATAGCATTTCTATTTTCTAGTTTCAGAACAATGGATATGAAGTTGTTTCATAGATAAAAAGAGAAAATAATTAATTTAAATTTGTGATTAATTAAATTAATCACAAATTTTTTATAACAACCAAAACATAAATAAAAATTTTCTTTTATTAACTATTCTGTCCTGTAAGTGTAATATTTTTAAATAAATAAAAAGAAAAATTGATTTTATGAATTTTTTTTTTATAATCACTCAAAATACAGTAATGATAAATTTAAGATTAAACGAGAAAAATAAATTAAAACTTTGATATACTTTCAACATTTCCTGAAAAGATCAATTCATAACAAACTATATTGATTATATATGGTCATCATATATAATTTTCTCATGGCTGTTAAATTCATTATAAAGATTCCATATTTAATCTGATAATGAAGAAAATAAAAATTCTATAGGATTTAATTTTGCTATAATATGTATAATTATTGCTTTGTTATATATTATAAATGTTCAATCCTTTTCTATTCAAGACTATTAAAATTAGATATAAATCACTAAAAGCTTGATTACATAATTGAACATTTTCAAGTCCTCTCTTAAAATCCTCAGATTACACATAACTACCACCTATTATTTCATACTGCCATTAAAATTAGTCTTTTTTTTTGGCTTTTTGTACTTTTTTTGGCTTTAAATTTTGACTTTTTGTAAATAGTCCAAACTTCAAATTATGAAAAAATTAGTCTTATTTTATTATAATATTTCAAAAAGTTATTCATATTAAAAGTATAAACATGTTTAACTTATCTTTTTCAACTCCTAATATTCTTATATAATATTTTTGAGAGTGCTAAATAAAATTAAAATTTAAGACTTGAAAATAATAAATTATATTTCTAGGAAACAAAGACTTCAAACATAAATTAATCTAATACACACAATATTTACAGAAAAAATTTTTTTTCTGTTTAGAATATTTTGGAATATAATACTGAACAATTTGACATATTTCATTCATACTAAAGTTTATAATGTTATTTCACATTTACCAGGACCAAAATTATTTGTAAACATTTATAAAACTGAACTGCGTTGCTTGTAATTATTTCTAGTTGATCAGATCATTCTGATTTAATTTTTATTTTGAAATTTCTTACTTTAATTATCAAATTATACAATTTTTTAATTGTTTTCATCTGTCAGAAAATAAATTTTCATTTTCTTTTCAATTTAGAATTTCTTAGAAATAACGTCATTTCTTTTTCTAATTGTTGTATTTATCTATACTAATATTATAAAGAGGTAATGTTTGTAAGTTTGGATGTAGGGGGTAATCTCCGAAACTACTCATTCGATTTCAAAAATTCTTTCACCAATATTTAGAATGGAACTTCAGGGTGGACATAGGCTGTATATTATTCCATTAAACATTCATATAAATTAAAAGATATCATCTAGGGTTAAGGCTTTTATGTCCAACAGATGGTGCTAACTCTGCAAGTAGGACGACTAAAGTTTGCTTTTCTGTGAGGATGAACTAAAGCAGATTATCTTCTATCTATCTATATAAATAAAAATGTAATTTTCATTTGTTCCTATTGATTTTTTTGAAATTTTGACACAATGCTGCATTTGAATACACATGTGTTTTTATATAATGCACATGTTGAAATTCCCCCCACGAGGGTCAGGATTAAGGCTTACCGTAAAGAACTCTGCTTCTATTATACTATTTTAGATGCGGTTTTTTGTGTTTTTGATTGCGTTTTAATAGGGTATGTCAAGAGAATGTACACTAAGAAGGGATTTTTTGAAAAATTCCCCCCCCCCACATTTATAATAGATACATTTTGAGCCACAACAACACGTGGCGGGGTCTGCTAGTCATATATAAATCAACAACTTGCTGTTTGCTTTTGCAATGAAAGGGATTTCATGTAATGTTTTAAACAGAAACGTATGGAAAACAATAGTCTTCCATGTGAGTAACACATCACAAAAATGTACATAACAGTGTTAAAAAAATAAAATTAAGAACATAAAAAAAAAATGAATCTTTATGACATTAATTTCAAGAAAAATCATGACAAGAGTTTGAAGATATCATTTTTCTCAATTTCCTTCTTAATACATCTATTCATTGTCAATATTATCCTCTAATCCTAATTTTTAAAGATTTCAAAAATTAAAAATAAGAATTATTTTACAGCAATGTATTAATTCTAAATAAATAAAATAAGATCAGCAACAAATTATTATTAGAATAAGTAGTTCTTAACACACCTGAGTCATTTAAACCATCAGATTCCTCTTTACAATTCTGAACACCCTCATTGCTGGAAGGAATTCCAAGTCTTTGCAATACTTCTATTTATATACAAGTGAAATCATATTAAAAACTTTAAATTTAGACAATTTATCATTTTCAGAAAAATCTAGTTTACTCACCTTTATCCACTCTAGGAAGTGCAACATGAATACAAATTGTATTTTCATAACGGTCTAAAATTTGATAAAATTTAGATGATGGAAAAGGTTTAGCAGCATCAACTGTATCTTTGTATTCAACAAAAACCTGATAAAAATGGCAATCTTCAAAATTTATTTAAGTCAAAATTTTCATTCAAAGACCATTTTTATTAATATAATAATTGTTTGTTGACTAATAATAGCGATTAATAAAAGCATGACAATAAATTATTTTATGAATTCATAAATCCTTAATAGAAATCAATTACATACCTTTGAACTTCTACTAAATCCTTCAGATTTTAATGTTTTGTTTGGAGTAGAAAGGTATCTCAAATCATTTCTATACATTTCTAATACAACTCTCATATTTGTGGCATCAACTCCAAGAACCTAATAAAGAAAATTCTGATATTAAATTATTACAAAATAAATATTTATTGTTATGTTAACAATCTTATAAATAAAATGTTAAGATAAGACAAAATTGATGGAAAAAACTAAGATATGTTTTGAAAATATTTCTTACCAATCTAAAAAACTTTTTAGTTCTACAATTATTATAATTACAATATTTATATGGTAAATTCAATTTTTAAAATAGATTGTAATGTTAATCACTAACTAAGTATATAAAAAACCCCCAATTAGGTGCATAAATACAATAGTTTAAAAGACAATAACATAATTGATATAGATAATGATTAAAAAAATAATTTAAAAATTTTACAGAAAATTATACAGCATTTTATATTTAAAAGTTTTAAAAAATTTTAAGTTCTGGAAAAATTCAACAATATTAAGAATTTCTAAAAAATGTTAATAAAATATTTACATTTCACATTTCATTAAAAGATATAAATGTTAAAATCAAAAATGATTTCTTTAATATTTTATCACAACAATAAAATATAAACATGCAAATTGATTTTAATAAAAATTAAGAGATTAAATATATAAAAATTTTAGTTACTTGTGCAATTCTTTGTTTAAATTCTTCTACAGATTCATTTAAATGTCCTCTTATTGTAATAAAAGGAGAAATTTCCTCATTTTCCACATCTATAACATGAACTTTTACTGTTGTCCCTATGAAAACAATATTAAGATGCTTTCAGATTTACAAAATTAAATAAAATCATTTAGTTATAAAAAAGAATTAAATAACACACCTCCAATCTTATATTCTTCAAATCTTTCATGAGGTTTACGAATCTCCAAAAGTAAATCAAACTTATAACTTGATTTTACACCACCCAAAATTTCTTCCATTGATTGTTCTTCACATCCTTCAAAAGAGCATTCTAATGAATCATGAAATTCATCATATTTTACAAGACGACAACATTCTACAGGAACTGTTCCTTCCAATCCCATTATCTAGAGGAAAAAGGGCAATTTAATTTATTTTTTTATTTTTCTATGCTAACATAAACATGCTATAATAAAGTACAAATAAACTATAGCTATTTCATTCAAAAGAAACAAACTACTTATATACATATTAAAGTTTTGGATAATAAAAATACACACCAATTTATTATTATTATTATATTTGATTGCTTGAATTAATACCATTACACTGTCTTATTGAATCAATTGATTTGTTTATAATAAATTATAAATACATGTAAAAATCAGACTAATTTGTTTTTTATATTATATTTAACAGCATAACAAATGTTAATTTTTATCATACAAAAGAATTTTAAAAGTAAAAGAATAAATGAAAGGTAACTATTATTTCAATACTTGGAAATTTTTATTTTGGAATAACTGATTATTCATTTGTTTCAATATATATTTTTAAATTTTATTTTATATTTAATTTTAAGCATAAGGTTTAAGTAATATAAATGTATGACGATGATTAGATTTATTTTCATTGAATACATTCAAAATATATTTTTAAATAAATAAATATTTTTATTGTGATAAGTATTAGATACAGATCTGAAAAACATCAAAATGGAAATATAATTTTAATTAATTATATGACCCACTTCACTTTAGTTATAATTTTAAACAGAGACTACCACATTAATTCATTGGTTAAAATAATGAAGATATGGACATATCAAGGTTAGTAGTAGAATCATTCATTCCTGTTATTTTCCTACATATTATTAGCCATTAATTTTTAGAACTGTTTAATAACAGATTAAAAACATTAGTTTAAACTATTATGAACATTAAAAAAAATGAACAAAACTAACAAAATAATATTTTTATTTTACACAAATATATTACTAATTATTTATTTTATATAATTAAACATTAACAGAACTCCTAGGTTTAAATCGGATTTTTGTACATAGCTTATGTTGTAGTTTGTACTTTGCAATTTATTCAAGTTTTGCCACTGTTGGTTACTTAATTACATAATGAAAATTAAATATTCTAGTAAATATTTATATAAAATAATAATTATATAAATCAATTGATTAAATTAAATAAATTCTGACAACACAACAACCCTTACCTTATGAGCAGTAGCAGTAGCTTCTGCTAATGTACAATCTTTATTAACTTTTAATCTCATTTCAACCATTCTATTTTGTAAGGGATGCTGACAAAACAATTTAATCTGAAAAAAAATTATAAATTTATAACATTATTACAAATATCTTAATACTATAGTAATATGTATAATTTTTTACCTTTCAGTTCCTTTAATACAACAAATAGACTAACTATATACAGTGGAACCTCGGTATACGACCTTAATCCGTTCCTGATGTTTGGACTTATACCGAATAGGACGTATACCAAACTAACCTTTTCCATAAGAAGTAATGTAAAAATGATTAATCCGTTCTGATGTAAAAAAAATGGCTGGCTTTAAACACCTCGCTTTTCTCGCTAGTTCCTGCTTGATTTTTCATGAGATTAGCATGTTTCCCTTTAGCTTTCTCGCAAATAATTTCTTCCGATGCACTGTTTTTCAGTTATCCAAAGCAAAAGCAATTTCTCGACATGATCTAATGTCTTCGATCTCTGTTTAGAAATTGATTTAACCCCTTTCGCAACGTTAGCAGATTTAATAATGTCTTTATTTTTCACGATTGTCGATATCGTCGTTCTCGGAATACGGAATGCAACAGTTAAATCTCGAACACGCGTGCCACCTTCATATTTCTCAACAATCTCTTTTTTCAGTTCCGTTGTGATTCTAGTCATTTTTTTATTTTTCTGTTGCCCTTTTGCAATTCATGATTAATAAAAATAATAAAATGTTACTTACAAATTAAAATCAGAAGAAATTTAACAAAGTTATAAACCGTAGCACCGCGAACGTCTAGTCTAGTGTAGTACACCGATAGTGCTACTTGTTCATAGATGGCGCTTATAATTGAATTAAGTCGTATACCGAACAAAAGTCGTATACTGAGCAAAATTTGTTTTGTCCAAACAGGACGTATTCCGAATTGGACGTATTCTAAAGCAGACATATACCGAGGTTCCACTGTATTCATAATTTAATACACTTTTTTTACAATATCTTATAAATTTACTTTGGAATAAGTGTGTAAATTAAAATTTAAATGTAAAAATTAGTTTATGACAATCTGGAAGCTTGATGAATCTAACTTTAGATTCATTTTTCTTCAGTTCATTTATCAGGTTGTATAAGCGAAACTTAGACTTAGACTTTTGATGAGGTTGTAAGTACAGTAACCAAAGAGCATTTCATCACTTACTTCATTGGAAATAGACACCAGTAATGTCTAATAATATAAAACTTTTAAAAGAACACATACAAATGCTGTTGCTCTATCACTTCAAAAGTGGCACAACACAAAGGCTCATGATCTCATCTGCAAAGCATTTATTAAAGTGTTCATGGATAACAAAGGTCAACCAGCTGTTACAAATGTCAAAGGACTGATAATGCAGAAGACGACAATGATTTATGTTTGTTTGGCATCATCATGATGTACTGTTTCCAACCAACATCACTGTCATAAAAGAACTCTACTGTAAACAACTAGATTGTTTGAATATGAAGATCAAAGAACTTTGTCCAAAAACTGATGTCAGTGTGCCGGAAGGTTCTGCCTCATCCACCTTATAACTCGGACTTGGCATCAACTGACTATTATCTATTACACACCTTACAGAACCATATTGCCAATATATAGTTCAATGACAAAATTCAACAGACTTTCTTGAAATAAAAACCCCAGTTATTCTATGCTCATGAAATTGACAGTTTACAGCAAAGATAGTGAGATATGATTGATATTGATAATGATTACCTACCAGGCTGAACTGTAATCATTGTTAAGTAAATTGTCAATAAAGTTCTTTTACAATGTCTATTTCACCTTTACAAGTGATAAAATTAATTCTAAACTCATTTATGTTTATAATTAATATGTATAGTACAGTCAGTCTATGTCTTCTGATTATCTATACAGGTTGCCCTCAGTTTACGCCGCAGTTCCGTTCCTACAAAAGCCAGCGCAAATTGAATCTGTGTAAAATGAACCCATATTTACAGTGAGTATAGGGTTAGGTTCTACATAAGTGAAAAATAAGCAAATAATTTTGTTTATTAATACAATATAATATATATAAAATACATATATTATAAATTTAATTTTTTTAAATGTATTTTATGATAAAATAAAATGTTTGTATTAAAAAATTTTACAAAAAGCAAATGATATTTCAAAGTTTCGGATCACTTACATTTTTTGGAAAAAGTATCTATTTGCAATTGTTTTGATTTTTGTTCTTTTTTTTTCACTAATAATTCTGGAATATGGTCGAATGAATGCGATGATGCTCTTTTTTACATTTGCACTTTGCTCCCAATCATTGTCTAACTCACAAAGTTCGTCCGTCAAACTTTCCATAGTTGAAAAGATACGCTAACCTGAAATAGAGCTACAGACAAGCATTGGTCAACCACCAGCTCCCATAGCGCATATATAAGATCAGTTTGGGCGGAAAAATTGAAGTTGGTTTCATCTCGCTAAGGAGAGTTAGATATCGTCTGGCCAACAAGGAGTAGATTTCGTCTCACTAACGATAATTTGTGATCACCAGAAATTCTACTGTGTCATAAGGTGTTTTTCTGAATGAACTGATATGGGATATAAACTATTCGCATTCATTAGAGCTCTGGACTCGGATGGCATTTATTGGACTATTAAGTTTAATAACTTGACTCGTGGGAACCTAAACGTTTAGTATTTTAATATTAATTTAATGCAAATGTATACATACCCAATCATATTAAACAGAAAAAATAAATATGTTACAGCTCAGTAAATATGTCAACACTGAAACGAAAATCAGTCTAGCATAGAGAAAATCAGGAAATTACCGTGAAATGACAAATTGCGCACCAGCGTTATTGTGAAACGGTGTAAATTGAGCCAGCATAAACCGAGGGCTACTTGTATTTACAATAACCAAAACTAGTGTATTAAAAAGAAAGGAAATCATTTTCAATTCCAATCAATCACTTACACTTAATGATGGCACAATACAATACAATACTTAAATGTTATATTTAATTTTGTAATGTTCAATTATCACATTATGTAACAATAACTAGTATGTTTATTCATGTTTAACTATGCTGTATATGCATAGCAACTGATTAAAATGTATTATAATATTAAAACATATTACAATACATATTAAAATGTATTGTAATATGTTTTATAATATTATATGTATATATTATATAATTATATTCATATAAAGTATATATTAATTATAGTAATAAAGTAATTATTCATTTCATATTAAAAGATTATATATAAATAGAATAAATTATTATTATTTAATCATCATAGAAAAACTTCATTAGCCATTATTAGAAATTCCTCTGCTCACTAATCCAAACTTATGATTTGCATTGAGTCTAGATTACCTTACACATGATTCTATCTAATTCTCTTTGCTGACGTTCTCTTTCTTCCTGTTCTTGCATGCTTTGAAGTAATGCCTTAATGTGTTCAGGAAATTCTTCAACACTAATTGGTTCTAAAAATGATATAAAATTTTTTAAAAATTTGTTTTATGTTATGATAAATGATAAAATTTGTTTTATGTTATAAAACTTTTTAAAAAGTTTTAAGAAAAAATTTAAGACTGCTAGTATTATTTGTGACTTTTCACAAATAATACTAACAGAAATAATATTATATAAAGACANAAATCTCCCCCATTCTATCACCTAAACCTAAATAAATATCTTTACATTAATAATATGATATCAGTTATTTATAAAAAATGAAACTATATAAAATTAATGTTGTGTGATTAAGAATTTGACTAAATAAATAAATAAAACATTTTATATAAAATTTATTTTGGTATTGTACTATGTGATAAACAGTTATAACAAATTATTTCAGATGCTCCATACACTTTCAATGTCAGTGTAACTTAATTCACTCAAAGAATCAAATCCAAGATTCTAATAAAGATAGACAGATTTCATAGAACATGGTAGTTAAGTTCCTATAAAATCTTGTGCAGCAAGAAATTGTGCTATACAGGACTAAATATCAGTAAGAGAGAAGAGGTTATGTTCCAAAAGCTAACAAAAATCTGTTAAATTTGCTGATCTTACAGCAATAACAGTTCTGATTTTCTTATAATTTTTATGATCCAAATTGCTGCCTAATTTAAATTTAAACCTTTCTGCAACACATTATACATTTTCTCCTTTTACAAGACTACCTAAAATTTCAATCTTTAATTTTAGAGAATCATAGTTTCTTATGACAGTGTTTTCTTTACTTTAAGAATCAGAATAATTCAGAACCGAAATTTACTTTATAACAAAGAAATTATTCCAGTATTAAGAGCAAAGTTTAGTTATAAACACTCAGAAAACTTAATAACTGATCAAATAAAAACCCAAATAATCTCAATAAAATTAGCTAATGATGGGCCAATAATAATGAATATATAAATTGCTTATATTTTTCTAATTTTTAATATAAATACATTGCAATTATTATTGCTGAATTACTTTTTTTTCAAATAATACTGATTTTACAAGATGGAGAATAAATACTGGAGCAAACACAATCCTATAAGAAATTTATCAAATTCTCTTCTAAAACCTAATTTTTATCCCTAATCTCCCAATCCCGAGATAACTGGGGCAGTTTACATAGTGTAACAAAAAAAAAAAAAAAAAAAACAGGTACTTTAGGTATAACTTTTCCAAAAATGAACGAACCAGTACATATACATTGTCATCTATATCACCTATGACGATTTTTCAAATTATTTTTGCCACAAAAATTTTTATGACTATTTATTAATTAGCTAATTAATTGCACTATTGTTTTATGGGAGTTTTTTTAAATCAAATTAATTAAATCATTCTAAACTTATATTTGATCAATTAGACATTGGTATAATTTTTAAAAATGCTATTGGATGTTTTCTATGACATCAGCAGGTTTTTTGTTTTTTTATTCAGTAGAATTTTTTTTATATATACGATTTTTTCAGTCCCCCCATATTTTAATAGCATAAAAATCAGGAAATTTATGTTATATTTGAATATACATGGTAAATTAGTTCCCCTTCTGCTTAAAACTTGTCTTTCCCTGAGGCATATATGTAAAGGACTCAGGAAAGCTGCCATCAGCTGTTCTCAAGGTCATCCAGATTGTAAACAATGTAAACTGCACATGTAAAATTTCAAGGATTGTAAAATGATAAATATAGCTGTAGGGAGTGTTTTTCTATCAAAAAAGCATTTTTTCGATTATTTTTTAACTTTTTTAATAAAAAAAATTAATTAATTACAGGAAGTAAAGCACTGATTTAGTTTGGATACCCCTGTAGGTGAATATAAGATGCATTCATCATACTTTCATTTTTTTACAAACAATTTTAACCTATATCCATATTAACAACACAGAAAACATAATTTACTAGTAAAGTAAACAAACTTGTCCTGTTTGCATCTGCCATTTTAAATTTGTACAACATCCTCTATATTTAGTTTGGAATATTATTGATTCCAACAAACTAATCTACTTATTATAATTTTCTTTGAATTAGAAATTTTTGGAATCTAATTAAAACTATGTGCCCATTAAATTAATTCTATTAAGTTAATTTTCATATTCTGTATTTACATAAAACAACAATGTCATCGGATAAGACTATATTATGCACATACATCAGAAAATGCAAAATGAGTTTAAAACATTTATTATCTTTAAAAATTCCTTCAATCCAAACAATCTAGTGTTTGTAAATTCCAGAAAAATGAATAGATTCCCTGAATTGACATCAAATATAAGTTTCCCTGTGATATAATTCCCTGGCATTTCCAATTGAGGTAGAGCACTATGTTGATTAACATTAAAAGATTAGTTCAAATAATTTTTCATTACGCATTAATTAATATAATAATAATTATTATTATATAGTAATTCATCCAGGATTGTTTGCCTGCCTATTTTTAAAATACTATCCTTAACAACAACTAGTACAGTGATACCCCAAACTTACACGATAGGTGGGACTGAGCAATAACCGCGTAAGTCGAATTCATGTAAGTCGGGGTATAATTTCGCAATTTGTGTAAAATCCAAGTTGGATGTATGTAAGCTAATAAATGTTCTTGTTAATCTTATCTTGTCTTTTGATTCGTTCACGGTTACAAGAAATCACCATATAGAATCTCTCAAGTCGCCGTAGATATAACAAACACAGAAAAAAAATAACACAAAATAAAGTGTAGCTGTGTGTCGATTCCGCACGACACGTCCGAACATTACGCTGAACAATGGTGTGGGGGGAGTGAGTAATCGAGAGTTGTGTGGCGTTCAAACAAAAGACAAATCGACAAGATTTGAAAATCATAACTCCGGGTTCACGTAAGTCGGGGTAGCATAAGTCAAGGTATTACTGTATATAATTAAACCAAAAAATGATAGTAATTTAAATTATTGCACTATGAACATGATTAAAGCATTTCAAGCATTGGGCTAAGACTAACAATAATTGAAATAACTAAGTTTAATCAATATAATAAATAATTAAAGTTCTCTATTTGCTGAATTACTAAAGAAAAGTTTCAATCAAATCAACTAAAATACATGAAAATATTTATTAAAATTAGATGATTTANCCAACAGAGCCCCCTTTCAACGTTTGTAAATACAATATAAGGACTTTGCGCAGGCTTCTTATAAGATCCTTAATCTTACCTAATGATGTCATTACGTACAAGTGCTCGAAGTGGGGCGAGGGGAAGGTGGGGTTTGGTGTATGTACTGCGCTATGATTAGCCTAAAATATGATTATATGGGACACTTTTTTTTACTTTCTTGAAACCGTGTCGGTGATTATTTTTCTCGTTTTTGAACACCATATAATTCAAACACACAACACAAGGCAATCTTCATTTTAAATTTATTCAATTTTTAGTTGAATAATGAAATGAAGATTGCCTTGTGTTGTGTGATTTCTTAAAACCGACATGGTTTCAAGAAAGTAAAAATAGAATATTCATTTATTACATATAAAATTATTAAATTGATAAAATTTACATCATTTAAAAATTTTATAAGTGGTCATACCTAGAATATGCACTTGAATAATAACCTCTTGCAGTACCTCCTCCATAAGTTTTTCTAATATCATCATATGTTATCTATAAATAAAATGATTTATTATATATTTATAAATAATATAGATAGTTTATCATAAATTTCTAAAGTGCATACCCTTGTAACTTGTGCATCATTAAAGCAATACCAATGCCCATCCTTAAATGATCTAAAATAATATAATATTGATGAAATATTTAAGACAAATATGTAAATTAATATTTGCAGTCAGAATGAACATCTATATAAGTTGTTATTATTAGAATATTATAATACACACATTTTTAAATAATTGTTATCAAATATTTTTTTACTTTCCAAAAACACATTATGCCATATATCATAACTCTCAATCATACTATGATGATTTTCAATGCTAATGATACAACAGAACTAAAAATACAGAGTAAAGTGGCAAGTATATCTTTGTTCCTGAAAAGCTATCTTAAATCAAAATCTTGTAAATAGGGACAAGCTTATCCATTATTTTTTACAGTTGAAATTTGTACTCATTCTGTCATAATGCATTGTCCTTTCCATGTTCTCCATAAACACTTATTTACATACCAACAAATGCTTCTAAATGAAGATATTGATTAGAATATACCATATTTACTCACATATAAAATGAGGTTTATATTCATTTATCACAGCTTCAAATTCCTAGGTCATCCTATATGCCCGAGCAAAAATTCTTTGCATTTTTGCAAATAATTTTTGTGAACCATGTATTCACATTTTGTACCCGGATGCTATTTAAAAACATAATTATTTTATCTGGTTATTTGAATCATTCTTGTATATTGTCAGGAGTAAAAATGAATAGCAATAAGAAAAGCAAAGCTTTTGAATTGAATTCCAGATTGAAATTCCAAAATCACACAGGAGCCTGATATAAGTTTTAATTCATTCCCACATGAAAACAGATGATTATTCAGAAATCAGAATTCAGAGAAACTTATAAGTGTAATTGACAGAGAGTGGATTCAACTGTTAAGAATTAACAAAAAAGGTTCCCAATTGTCCAGCTTTACACAAACAAATTATGTTGTCAATTTTACAAGATTTTTCCTTAAAGTTTAAAATGCCAGTAATTTTTGCAGGACAATGTGTGCATTCGACATTTTATTTGTGATTAAACGAAATAAAATTAAATTGGATTAATAAATCTAATTTTCTTTATTTTGATCTTTAAAGTCACACTTTGTCCTATATGCGAGGTCATCTTATATGCAAGAAAATATGGTAACTGATATAAAAGGAACTATGAAACATAAAATGAAAGAAGTGACTATCACACAAGAAAAACAAATATCTAAGTTATCAGATGTTTCTTTATTTAACAGTAAGAAAAAAAAAATGTTAAAGCAATAAGTAAGTATAAAACAAGTAAAATATAGAGTAAATAAAACTATTTTAAATTAATTAAATTGTAAAAATTACTAAAAGAAAAATCTAATATGAGATAAAATTCATTAATCTGCAAAACTGCATTACATTGAATAGCACCATCTCTAGGAAATGAAAACATGATGTAAATGAAACAAACAAAAAAAAAAAATAAATAAATGAAGACATCTATGAGCCATCTAGTCACATTATACAGGAATTTCAATTTCATCACACTCATGATTAGACTAAAAAATAGTCTAATTGTGAGTGTGATGAGACTTGTAAATACCAATCACCAATCATTTGTTATATGAAGTATTTTGTTTCATAATTCAGGAAGAGAGATTAAAAAAACAAATCATTTTGTTGAATTCTCTTATATTGAGTATTTGTAAATTAGGATCACACTATCATGGGTCACTCTGGAAAATTTAAAAGTATCACCACCATTTTGCCAGTTTTAATTTTTTTCACCAATTCAAATTATTTATTGCCACCAGTTTTACTTACTAATTAATGCAGGTGCTGTTAGCCTTATCAGTTTTGCATCTGAAAAGCAAAAGTAACACAATAAGCTTACAAATAGCTGTTTTCTTACAGGTCTCCGATTCAAACAAAACATGGTAAGCATGTAGACTTAAACACAGACAGCTCCTCATACAAATAGAACCCACTTTTCAAGCATTTCTAAAAATTGGGCCTCTAAAAATATAGTGTTTAGCTTATAAGTTTTTGGAAGTTTCACGTCTCAGATTGGCAATAGCCAAGTAAGACACTAGGCACTGGAGTTAGACAATGTAGGTTTGAACCTTCGGCATTTTAGTTTAGTTTTTTTTTAACGTGTAACATTATTATTTTATTACAAGGGTTGTTCAAGGTTAAACGAGACTTTTGGGCCTATAATTTTGAAGAGTAACTGTAGCACAATAAAACCTAGAGAGAGAGTAGCATTATCCATCTCAAGATTTTGGTAGCAAGCATGATATATTTTGCACATGTGTAGGAGTTTTAGCAATCATGGCAGAAGGAAACGTGTCTGTAACAGTGGAATAGTGATGCATAATAAAATTTCTAGTGATAGAAAAGGTTAAACCCACTGAAATTTCGAGAAGATTGAGTGCACAGTATGGGAAACAAATGCTATCATGAGCAAAAGTGGTGTCAACAATTTGGTGAAGAAAGAGCTGGTGACAAATGAAGCACATGGACATGCTTCATTTACCGATTGCATATCCAACTGCAGTAATGCCAGTGGATTTTATAGAGAAAGGGGCCACAATTAATGCCCAGTATTACACCAAATTGATTACAGATGCCATAGGAAACACCATTCACAAGAAAAGATCTGGAATGTTGTTTGGGAAAGTGATTCTTCTTCATGATAATGCCTGACTGCACAAAGCTAATTTGACATCATCAATCTAGCCAAAATGGAATGGGAGGTGTTGTCTCATGTCCCTACAGTCTAGACTTAGCTCCCAGTGATTATCATTTGTTTGGGTCCCTTAAAGAGTACCTGGGAGGAACAAAATTCCAGATAGATAAACTGCAGCAAGTTGTCCTGCGCTGGCTACGATATCAGCTCACTTCTTTCTATGAGAAAGGCATCGGGTACCTACCCTGCCACTGGGAACAGTGTCTACATACAGATGGAGAGTATTTCAAAAAACTGATGTAGTTTATATATGTTTTGGGCATTCCTTTTGGTCTGTAGAAATAAGTCTTGTTTAACCTTGAACGACCCTTGTATTTTACCACATCATTAGCATTATTACTATTATTTCTCTTGTTTAAAGCTTATAAAACAAGAGATTACAAATTGTGATGCCATGTCCTGTTTAACAAAAACAAGCCTCTTACATTATTAAATAAAATTTTTGTCATATTTATTTTCAGATATGGTGGTATTGTGACATTTGAAGTGTAACAAACTTGAGTGCTTGAGGAAATTAATTGTATGTCCATAATATTAACAATTAAAAATAAAATAAAATGCTGAGACAACGCTATCTTATTTCATATCACTTGTCTTTTTTGTCCATGTGCAATAATATCTGAGGTTTATTTGCTTATGAGGACATGGTATCTAAAATATGTGAAAATAGATGCAAAGAAATAAAAGTTATATTTAACGACGTAAAAGAGTTAAATCTACAGAGACTCATTTTTGTTAAGCAGAAAATGATGTCACAATTTTTAATCTTTTGTTTTATAACCTTTAAAAATGTGAGGAATAATAATAGTAATAATAATGTTAATGATGCGGTAAGATAATAAAGTTACACATAAAAAAACTAAACTAGAATGCTGAATGTTCAAACCTACACTGTCTAGCTCCAGTACCTAGCATCTTATTCATTCAACTATTGCCACTCTGGGACATGAAACTTCCAAACACTTATAAGGTAAACACTAAATTTTTTAGAGGACTAATTTTTGAAAACGCTTGAGAAGTGGGTCCTATTATTTGGAGCTGCTTGTGTTTAATGAAGTTTCATTCGAATCAGAGACCGAACGTCTTGCCCTCCCCTTGTTAGCAATAGGAATCATTTTTTAAATAATATTTTAATGAATAATTCCAAACAACACTTTGATCATAATGTTTAAACAATATTTCACAGATTCTGTCATGTCAAAATTTTTGCTCTAGTCTACTGAAAAAAAAAAGATCAAAGTGAAAAAAGTCATCCCAAAAAATTCCCCAAATTTTCTGTCAGTCAACAAAACATTCCCAATCTGGAAATGCTGGGTGGCATTGCAAAAAATTGCCTTTGGTTCTCAACATCACTTCCTACTTTTTTGCTCAAACTTGTCATTTGATGTCATGAAATCGCTACGGATGCATATACAGTACTTTTTGTTTCAGATGGATCAATCTGTAAGATCAGATCAGTCTTTGTCATGTGATACAGATTGCTTCTGCCATGTTTTATTTGGCAGAAAGTATACAAGTAGGATTGCATTTTATTTACACTGTGAATAAATTTGCTCACAAAACAGCAAAATGGGAGTGTGCACACCCTACATTCTTGCTGTACAATCTTGCAAAATTGTCTCCAAATACTCATTTTTTCATCTCAGTTTATCAGATATTTTAATAGTGATTTTTTACTTACCATTTATAAGTTTTAAGAACAGTACTTTTCATTGTCAACAATTAAACATATTTCTTTTCTGTCAACTATAAGCTTGACTTTAATCATGATGGTTGCCATCTTTAATCTTTTTTAACCAATTCGAATGATCCTACCCTCTGTTCAGATTTGTTTGATCGCAATTCAATTGATCCTACATGGTGTTTGTATATGCAAATAGATATTCACCAAATCACTACAGTTTGTTTGTATACACAGTTTGTGTACAGGGGCAAACCACTACTAATTTGAAGTAGTGAGCATGTATTTTAAATTAAATTAATTAAAAATTGCAATCTGGCATTGTGATGATGTCACAATAAATAATTGCTCATTTATTTAAAAACTGATTAATAATCTCTAACAATTCAGAATAGCTTCCTTGGTTACTAACTAGGCCAAAAGATATTAATTATATCAGAAATTAATCATTAATTTTTTAAAATGCAACATTACTCAATACTTAGATTATTACTTTCTAAATAATATGATATATACATACACTTTACATAAACATTATCCTTAGTAACTTGAAAGTTTTAATACAACTATTATTATTATTAACATATTTTAAACCATAATAAAAAAAATCCACATATCTTGAAAAATTAATTAAATTCATTTTTATATACAGGCATCTCTCATACAACACAGTACAGTAGAACCTCGATTATCCGGACTAATTGGGGATGAAGGTAATCCGGATAAGGAAAAATCCAGATAATCGAAACAAATACTTTAATTTGTCTTTTAATGATAATACAACACGTCTTCTTTTCGATGACATATCGGTAATATTAAAAGTAAATACTGTATTTAAATCGTGATCAAATTTTCAAGAAACAAACGTTCGTATTGA